ACAATACAGTGCTATGCTAATGCTTAGGAACAGTTTTTTCCAAAGGAAATTCAAGGAAACATGGGTTTGCAGAAATGGTTTTGCTCCTCCCAAGCACTTCACTGCTTATCTTCTCCCACTGAAAAATATCCTGCAGTTGGGGCAGTCTTCAGACACTTCAGAATGGAAGACTGTCCTTTTATTTGTAATCAAAGAATCCCAAATACTTGGGAGATAACTGAACTGAATTCAATGCAGGCAAATGATCACCACACATTTATCATTGAAAGACAATAAATAATTTTCTCAATTTTAAGAAAGTCAAGGGGAAAAAGACATTTCTCTTTATTTTTTTGGACAAAAATATTTTCCTCCTAGGTGATTATTTTTTGTGTTAAATCACAATACCATTTGCATCACTGGGGTTGGAGGAATCAAGACTGAAGTGGGGAATCATCAACTCATTGTTTCATAATACAAAAATTTAAATAAGGGGAAAAAAAATTACTTGAGACATGCAAACATGAAATGCAGTAGCTTAGTTCTATAAATTATTGACAATGTCAACACCCTGGGTTAATTAAGGTCTGTATCATTTTCTAGGCACAGTACTTGGGCTCTGTAGGTTGTCACTAGTTCATCATCCTCAATTTCATCATTTGTACCTCAGAAAAGCAAGTGAATATTCTGACCACAGTAATGCAAGTTTTAGAGCATTTTAGTTTTCCAATAAATATTTAAAATTATTGCTTCCAACTGGACAGTGAAAATAGATAGAAATTGGCTACTCCTTTGCAAGTTGCAAAAATTAAAAGTAAAAAGGTTGTTAGGTCCATCTCTTGAGGGTCAGAGATGGTTTTAATGACTTTATAGAGAAAGGCAGGACAAGGCTCTTAACATTTTCATAGAAGCATAATAATAATATATTTGGGGAATAACTAAGAGTCACAAACACCCTTTTCATAGTCCTCTGCTTCTCCAATAAATGAGAGTAACACAACATCAACTTTTCCTGAGATCTATTATCCATGCTCGCATTTCCATTAATATCAGTGCACGCATTTGACTAAGAGATCTGTAGCTAAATATTTCAAAACATTTTCTGGCTATATCAAGGACCAAAGCTAGAATGCAGATGTCCTAAGTAAACTTCAGAGGGAAAATTGACTGTGGAATAATATACAACCTTTGTTTCTCACTTTTGGGAAGACCGAGTATACAAAACTCATTATTAATCATACTTTGTGTTTCAGCATGGACAAAATGGCAAAAATATCTTGCTTATCACTACTCATTTCTTCTCTTTCAGTTGGAAATTGATGGTATGTTAAATGAGGTTTATAAAATTTTGGTATATAGTTTATTAATGTGTAAAAGAAAATTTAAAGTAATAAAGTGCTAAATGTTTCTTGGTATGCCATCTGTGCTTATAGCCTGTCACCACAGCCAAACATCTCCACCTCTATCGAAAAGTAGTATTGTGACAAAAACAATCAGACATCTTTGAGACAAAACAACACAATGCTGAAAAAAAATCCATCCTACAGTGAAAACTCCTTCCCTATAACACCTTTTCACGTAGGTTTACGTGAACACACGATGAAGCACATATTAGAATTGTTTTTTCTGTTCCAAGAAAATTTGGGGCAGGAAAGGCTCCAGTCTCCCTGCTTGTAGTTAGGCTGATAAGCTATTTGTTTGTCAAAAGAGAGTCTCAAATTCCCCATGGCAAAATAGGATTAAAGAATAAGCCTTTCTTCCTTGCTTATCTCCTGAATAGCCAATACTATCAGTCATAAGCAGAGACAGAAGGATTGACCAAAAAAGCATCTAAGAGAGAAGGTACATTTTTTTGAGGTCTTTCTCCCTTTGACAATTGCCAATCACCTCATCTTTCTGGGCCTATGTGGGATCCTAGAAAAACAGATCCCAAAATTGTTGCCTCATTCCTAGATACTTCACGTATCTGCTGCACATTTCAGTATACGTAGGAACAGAAATTTGACTGTTGAAAGAATCCTCTTGAAGGCACCAGGACATCTCAGCCTGAAATACAGCAATAAAGGTCCGGACAGGGAAGAGAGGAGGATCAGGGCTGTTGATTCAAGTCTCTTCAGCAATGAACAGTCAGTTCTCTTATTTCTGCCCACAAATCACGCAATTGGCATCAACAGGCACAGGCTGATTTCTGTACCTCATTAGTGACGTTGATATCTTGGACATCCTGTGGATATTCTGGTTCTGATGCATGTAAAGGTAAGGAAATGTGTGCCAGATGATAGAGATTATTCTCATGTAAAATATCTCTACTTGATGTTTCCAAATACTATAAGCAAAATTATCATTACTCACCCTGCCAAAACAATAGGCTGACGTGGAACTTGACTACTTGGACGTACGGCTGCTCACAGTTAAGCAGCTTGTGGGGGAAAGTAATTGCTCAGAATAATTTCAGACACTGTAATTTAAAGATCAGATTCAAAATATCTGCAAAGCACTTTACAGTCACACCTAAATCTTCCCATAATCAACTCCAGTCATAAAACTGGATACACGTAACATTCTGCAGCATCGTGATTTTCTGAAGATGGAATTTTCCCATTTGAAAAAGGTTGTCTTCACTGCAGAGAACCACTTAAATATCTTATGCTGGCTTTAATTTCAGCAGCAATTGACATACTGCACCTCAGAGTAGTTAAAAGCATCAGCTTATTATACAAAAATTTCCCAAAGTACCCTGACTTGTTTTTATCAGAACAGAAAAAAAAAACAAACCAAAAAAACCCCCACACTTTATGGAATTTTTCACTACATCGTACAGAATGTTGGATTTGATGCTGTTTGAAAACAAAATGAAAACCACTTTTTTAATACCATCCAGCAAAAATCTTCCTCCTATAATAAGGGACACAGAAACCTACAAAATGTTCTGTCTAGCTACATACATACACATGCATACAGTGCTTAAGCAGAGCAATTTCATTTATGTCCATGACTTACACAAGGGTTCATGCATACAACTACATCTCTCACAACTGACACTCAATAGCAAGATATCAGGGCACAACACCCCCATTTGTGAGGAGATAAATGAGCTCACTCATCATTCTTGATAAAGATGGAGCAATAGTAGTCAGAAATTCCTGACTCCTCACCACAGAATCTTGTGCTGCATTGGCTAAAAGCAAAACTCAAGCCAACATAAGATTCCTATAATAAATGCTAATAATATTCTTGTTTATTATTCTTAAAAGCATTTAACTAAATATTAATGATGTTTCTCAATCTTCCCCCAATTCCCCATAGAGGCATAAAAAAGTGCCATTTCCATAATGCACTGCTATATTCTAAACCAATAATTATTAATTTGCTTAATAACAAATTCTGTCAAAATATGTAACTCACCTAGGCAGTAAGACTGACTTAAATTATGTTAGTCTAAATATATATTTGCACAACCCCAAACAACATTTACTTGAATGCTGTAAATTATTGTATATCTTCAGTAAACATATCTATATGGTTTCCTTATAACAAATTTCTAATACTGGTGGGAAAAAAGTAAACTTGAACATGCAGACATTACTATGTCAATAACATTATGAAAATAGTGAGAAATGAGACAATGTAAGTCTCCTGTGCTCCTTTTTGTTAGTTCATTTCATCAAAGCATGCACTGAAAGACAGAATCTGTCATCATCTCCATAGCAGGCTTTCTGGATACTGTTAGTTGATACAATGCAACAAATCCTGAACCAATCAATAGCATTTTGGAACCAAAACAGCTTTTTAGTATATTTATAGCAACACAAAAACTCGGGGGGTTGGCAAAACCTTTCACTGCACAAATAGTACACTGTGGTCAGGGAAATTACACAGAAACCACCATTTCCCAAGTTGATCTGGTCGCTGATTGTTTGCTGTGTTCTGAAGAGAAGTTGGATAAATTACAACCAAAAATATATATTTTATATTTACCAAGAACCAGAGGAACAGGTAAATGGTAAATATTAAAGGTAAAAGCTTTTAAGTCAAAAGGAACAGAGGACCTGTGCTTGTTGAGTACCATTCCTATCGGATTGTTACTTTTTCGTTGCATTTTATTTACACTTCACCATCTTTAAGTAAAGAAATGGGTAAGGATAAGAATCAAAATAACCATTTTCAAGTACTAAAATAGTCTTTTTTGCACTAAAATAATACAGATTTCAGTTACTTAGGATATATGCTCTCCGGTATGTTGTTTTCATGGAAAATAGATAAGCCAGAAATAGTTATCTCCTAAAGCAATGACTTACAGTTCTCAATACTGATTTTTCAAATTAGATGTTATTTTGTGCAAATTGCCTTAACACAGTTAGCTGACTGCTTGATACGAACTAATCAGTGTGGCTAATGACTGGTTTTATACACTCTTTACTTTGAAGAGAACTAAGTAGAAAAAAAATTTTACAGACTTCGAAGCATGCCCCCTTACAGGGACGTAAGGAGGGACTTAATCATAATAATGTTTACCTTGATCTTATTGCTACAGTCTTCTCTGGAGAAGAAATGTGCAGGTTGTAGCAAGATGGAGGTCGGTCTCTTGTTCCAGATAACAAGCAATAGGACAAGAGGAAATGGCCTCAAGTTATGTCAGGGAAGATTTAGTTTGGATATTAGGGAAAATTTCTTCACTGAAAGGGTTGTCAAGCACTGAACACGATGCCAAGGGAAATGGCTGAGTCATCAAAATAAAACATACTGCATCTCTGCCTTCATCAAATTTGTTTTATTCTTTTCTTGTCTTTTTTTTTTTTATCAAGAAAAATGGTAAACGGAGTTTTGGTAAGAAAGAGCATTAATATATCCTTGTTCAATGAATAAGCACCACCATCCATTGCATCGATGTGATAAACATGCTATCCATATCTTACATTTTTTTAACTCTGTACCCTTTTTATTTAATGTCATCTCAGGTTCACAGAAAGTTTTGCAATTCAGAGACTTAAAGAGTATTTCTTTTATATTCCTTCACATACCATCAAGACCATTATGATGGCTGTAGTTTCTTTTTCCCAAAATACTTAATGAAGAGTGATTGGAGGGTGCAAGTAATCGTTTTGCACTTGGACTTTGAAGGCTTGGTGTTGACCTGATTACATTTGGTTTCACAGTAGGATGTATCTCTGAGAAAAAAAAGAGAGAGAGAAATTATATGTACTTGATTTTAAAATAAAGAAAACCAGTCTATTTCATATATTAAATTTACTTTTGATTTTCAGTGAAAGACATTTTCTTCTGCACTTGTGTGTTTACAGGAGCTTGAACAACACTTCAAATATAAGCCTTCATACCCACAGGTCCTCCAAGTAAGAAAAATCTATATCACTTTAAATTACCCAAGTTCAATACTACAGTGCAGATGTATAAGGATTTGAGAGGTTGAAGAGATAATAAACATGTTTTTTTACCCTTTTGAGGTTTGTATTGAAGCTACACGCCTACAGATTTTTTTTAGAAGGAAATAAAAGCATTTTACTATAGTGAAACCACTTCAAGCTATTCAGTATTTTCTCTCACAATAAGAAGCTTTAAGGGATCCTCCCACATAGGAGTCACAAGGTGCAGGAGAGCCAGGAGGTCAGCCATTGTAGGGCTCTGCAGTTCAAACTACCCCAAAACTGGAATGGGAACACTCCAATATATTCATTACTGGGGAGCTTCAAACATTCTGTGTTTCACACAGCAGGAGAAAGAAGAATAAAGAGGGTAACAGGTAGCAAAGTGCATCTGGCCAGCACGCTTCAGGGTGGCAGCTGCTGTGTTTGCCAAGAGCTGATACAGCTGTATGGAAATTTCTCAGTTATCTGCCAGACAAAAGTGGCAAAAGGAAGCCTCAGTCGAGTCTGCTTGTTCTTCATCAGGAATTTGCTGAACCAACTAACTTATTCCCATCACACATTTGGGTTCAAAATGCCACCACTGCACACAACCTTGGGCAGACCCATATTTGTGTGTGAAGTCAGATGCCTGAGGGCAGGTCCTGTCCTTCTGACACAGCCACAGGGCACCAGCTGCCAGCACTGCGCAGCTTATGAGGCACTCGCAGCCCAATTACACCAGCCACTCAATGTCCCCACGCAGCAGAAGACACTTCTGTCTCACCTCTGGGCTGAGAAGGTGAGGGCAGAGGGGCTGGAACACAGATCAGGAGAGTACTTTCTCACATGCAGCCCAGGTTTACAACTCTTGAAGAGTGCTTCTTTCTGCTTTTCTGTATACAAAAAGCACAGAAGCTGGGAATAAGCAAAATCTACAGTGAGGCCAGATATCCAAGATGATTCTCCAGCCTCTGCCATTCACAGCTATCATTGCAAAGGAAGAGAAACCATTGCATAAAATCAAAGTCCATTGCAATAGCATGTTTTTCCTCCTTGGCATTTCTGAAGGAAGCCCGACATCCAAGCACTTGCCTGCCCTGCCTCATTCTCTCACTGTCATGGTGAGCCCTCATGGGCAGTTGGCAGATACTGAGCCTGCCCATCCCACAGGGATGCAGAGGAGGCTGGGGGTGAGCCACAAGAAGTCGTGATAACTTTTAAAAGGTAGATACATAAAGGTGGGAAGGCCCAACAGTTTCATCAGTATCCAAAGGAGTGGAAAGGAATAGGATGGCCACAATGACTTGGTCAGGCTGTACCGGGAACAGCATGCCAGGAGGAGACAAAGCCAACAATTTTCACAGCGGAAAATTTTCACATCACTTTGCTTAACTGTTCACCCTTGGTTTGGTTGGAGTTTGCCAGCACACTCTCAAAGCATGAACACCCTCATACAAGAAACTTCAAGAGGGTCAGATAAGAAATATAGAGCAGGGTAAAGCACAGGCAGGTAAGAGAGAGAGGGTACAGGTAATCTCTCCAGAGCAGTAGATCTGGGCATGCAGCTAAAGGCTAGTTTAGTGTCACCAAATTTCTCACCACTTAATTAGATGAAAGCTTCTTACTGACATTCACTGCAGTATTCATCCGCTTTTCATAAAAAAAAGTTTAGGAATGCCAAGCACTCAGCAGATTTCTAACATGTCCCATTTTTCTTGCTGTAGGGAACAAGAATCTTGTATTTTGGTTTTTTACTGAAATGGGAACTGAGGCATGCTTAATGTTATGAACATTACTGATGGTTAAGGCAAAACTTTAAACTGAAATAGAAACACTTGCGCCATTTGCTGTAGACGGTTGGAATTTGGATTCTAAAATGTTCATTTGGCAATCTTTTCCAGTTTTCTGAAGGAAATGGTAAATTTTCAAGGCTAACACCATTAAAATATAATTTCATTTGCGAAAGAGTTCCAGCAGCAGCCACAATAGTCCCAAGCAGCTGTGTCAACATATGAGAACTCAAGCTCCTTCCATCTGCAGCATATAGGAGTAGCATTTTTATGTTTTCAAGATGAGCAAACAGTTGAGTCAGGATGCATTTCCTTCCTTCTACTTTTCTTAGTTCAGCAGTCACTAATCCTCCATTAGTTTACCACAAAGGCTGTCTCTTCTCTTTCTGCAGTAGAGGAAGGCAGCAAGAACAAGCTCTACACTTAAGTTCCAAAAAGGAGCTTAATTAAACAACCAGGACACTTCCCAATGGACTTGAATCCTTCCTTTGGGGTCTTTACACCTCACACTCGCTCCTCCTCTACATATAGACTTACTTCAAATATTTTCATGCCTTGGATAAATACTTCCTAACCAGATGTTTCATCACACCTGAGAGGGGTAATGAGGCATTTCAGTGGTTTCACCTGAATTATATTATCCCATTGTATAATTGCATTATGGAATAATTGTAATTATCCGTCTTTTAATTCCTGCTGCTCTTATCCTTGTTCTCTTGCCTAGTAATTCACCGAAAATCTTCTAGCTACCTGCACCTTTTGCTAGCTCAAGAGAAATGACTATAGCATCCAAATTACCCAAATTATCCCTTTACCTACATAACAAATAATCAGCTGGCCACATTCTTAAATAAAAATAAGACAGGAGTAAGAAGCAACATATTAGGAAACCAATTAAGAGGATCAGATTAACAGATTGCAGCCTCAAACAAATGGATAACTATAACAACACTAAAAAGCTCTCCCATTTCCACTCATGTCAGTCAACTAAAAAAATAAAACTCAAAGCAAACAAAGAGAAGGTGAAGTCTCCTAGTGAGTCACTTAAATAAGCATCCTGGATTCCAGAGGTGCTTAAGCATCTGCACCTCTCTCTTATCTCTTCTCATCTCCTCAACATGTATCCCAGCTGGAAACCTTAGCTTGGTTTCCTCATAACTAGGAGGTAACAAAGGACATTTAATTAGCCAGGGGTTCACCTTAGGGGATTTGTTTTGGTAAGTACAATGATGACTGAAGGGATTATAGAGGATCAGCCCTAGTTCTGTGGCGGGCAGGGCTTAATTTTAACGGTCAACCTGCCTCACCTGTGGAACTGACAGCCAAGAAGCAGAACAGGGATAAAGTAAGTGATAACCCAGGATGTGCAGGGCACTGAAATCCTCTCTGCATTACCAGAAAGGTTGAAAACAGTAATGCCCTGAGTCACACAGTTACCTGTATGCCAATAAATGCCTGTGGGAATGGCATGGGAGGAATTTTAAAAAGAAAACAAATGCCTCCTGTATAAGCTATGACATGATATTTAATACTAATTTTTATGAGAAAAATAATTCAAGTACTACTTGTTTGCTGAAACATGCAAAAATTCCAAATAAACCAAAAAAGTCACAAACTAAAAAAAACACACATGCAAAAAACCAACAAAAATAACCCCCAAAAAACCCCCCCAAAAAAGACCAAAAAAACCCCAAAACCACAAAACAAATGAAACAAAAAAAAAAAACAAAAACAAAAAACAAACAAACCAAAAAAATCTACAAAGTTAAATGGTAAGAAAAAAGCCATTTTCTAGTCATTCTTATAGAGCTAATTCAGTATAGTATGTATTCAGGATGTATTCAACTGCACTGGGTATGCTTCATATCCCTGCAACACGTTATTTGCCTTCAACTGTAGTGGGATACCTTCACTTCCCATACAGTCAAATGCTAAGCAGACTCTACAGATACCTGGTATATTTTGGCACTGTTAATCTCCTATCACACACTCACCTAAGTGCGCAGAATGCTGTCTGATATTGTTCATCCGTTTACTCCCATTAAGCCTACAGCATTATGCTCCCTCAATGACTAAATCACAAGGCATTAAAAACATGCAGGGTCCTCTAAGTTTACCCATGTTACCATTTCTTCTTCTGGCTGCACAGACAGGTCAACTGGATGAGCTATCTCCTGTCCAGCTTCCCCCCTTACAACCACAGCTCCCCCAAGTTAACCAAAGCAGTCCTTTCAGCACAGATAAGATATACAGCCAGGATGCCTGTAGGAAATTATCACTGGCTTTTTTCTTAAACTCTAGGGCAGGAGGGATCAAAATTCACTGAGAGTGGCATTAATGCTTCATTATACAGTTTTCTGAAGTTAGGATTTTGATAAAATTGATGTTCTAGAAGAGCAGATGTAACTACATAAATAGCTAATTTCTGTTTCAGTAAGGCAAGAGACTGTTTACTTTGTTCTAGTACAAAAAAACTCTTGTTGATTTAATTTTGAGCAAAACATCTAGACTGAACTCTATATTCAGCTTCAATTCTGCAGAATGGAATTAACAGCAGAATTATTCACTGCTTCTCTGATCAATAGTTTGATTTCTATACTCATTTGAGTATTAACAGCCTCTGGGTTATCACAATTTTTATATGACTGTGTAAATATTTAATAGTCAACGACAGTTCCTTGAAAAGAGTATGATTTTCACTTGTTTTAGCAAGGAATCACTATTACTTGAATTTTTCCTCTCCTCATTAACTTAAGGGTTCATTGACCTCTTGGCTGTGATCTCAGTACAGATCTCATTGCACCTTTTAAATTTAGGTCATCAGATTACAAGATTGCTGTCTTGGTGTGGCTGAGGTGCCCTTCTTTTAAATATACAGTACTGCAATTGGATTCAAGGGGCACACTAGAGTAGCACTGAGCATATTAAATATCTCCCCTCTGAGCAGTTATTTTTTTCACTTAGACCACCAGACTATTTTTCACATGCCAAATTAGATCAGATTTCACTCTGACACTTTAAACCAGTATCAGCAGAACTTCTGCCTACACCCTGCAAGTTCAATCATGCAGTTGTGCAACTGATAGTGGACCACCGTTATTATTAATTTATTTACTTCAGAGCTTTTTCTTGTTACTCAAAGCGTAAATCCCCCTTTCTATGCACATAGGATTATAAAGCATCAGTACACACTGAATGTTGGTTTGGTTCGTTATTCTCTGGAGGCAGATACGCACCTAAATACCCAATGATACATGACAGTGGTTTTCTGGTGCTTTTAATCTTCAGAGGATTTCCAGAAAGTTCACAATGTCGATCTGCATCTGAGAATTTTAAAGAATAAAACTCAGTTTAATTTTTTTACTATTACCAATAGAATTAGGACACACCGACCACTTTCTGTCTTGCATTTTTGACACAAATTTCTTTTTTCATTTTAGCCCATACTCTCCATTTTTTATCAATACTTATAATGAAGGATATTTAAAGGCAGGACATGTTCTCATTCATGCAAGTGATCTTATGGTTATTCTTTTTTTTTTTAAGTCAACGTAAGTTAACACGATTTTGATTGCATTTTTTTGCTTACAAAGCAAATGAAAAGCCAGCTAGGCAAATGAAACACAGATGAAAACATGAGTACTAAATGAAATGCAGCTCTAGCTATTAAAAGCAATTTACATCAATTCTTTATTGTTTTTTACAAGCTCCTTTGTCTCTAAATGGGGCAATACAGAGGTAAGGATTCAAAGCTGGCACTACTGACTTTTGTCATGTCTTACTTGCATAATTGTGATTCATATACTGTCTAATAAGTAAAACTGAACACAGGGGTTATCATGGCTTGGGAAAGAAACAAACAAAAAAACAATCAACCAAACAAAGCAACTCCTTCATGGTAAACTTTTGAACAAAGTGGCCAGTTGTAACCAAGTATTGCAAACCCCAAAGGTCTCAAAGGCTGTAACTTTCTGCAAAGTACATGAAAACTAGCAGTGCAGTAAATGCCTTAAATTTAATGCTACTACTATGAACTTACACCTTTAAAGGTGTAATACACAAGCAGAGATTCCATGTTTGTCCCAAACATAAAGTGTTACTATGAAGATGTTCATGTTTAGACAGTGAAGTCAATCAACTTAAGGCAAAAATTTACAAGGCATTAGGTTTCAGTAAACAATTCCAAAACTACTGAAAATATACTTTTTTTTTTTAAGTTATTCAGAGTGACTGGGTTTATCTTTCTTCCAAGAGCGCATAAGAAATCCCCATATAGATTTTCCAGTATCCCTAGTATAGAGGTATTCTGTTCTATACAAAACTGCACTCATATGGTGATTGTGTAGATTGAGAATTCTCTCACATGGAATTACTTCCCACAAATACCTACCTAAATGTACTCTTTTCTTTGTATAGGTTTCACACATGCAGATCTGCATTTCCTAACAAGCATTATAGGAGGTACACATTATAAATAGATTCTAATTGCAAATCCACCTTGTGTTTTATCAAACTGCTCACGTTTGCTTCATTCCAGTACATGAGATGAAGTACACAGTCACAGGAAGAAGACAAGACACTATGTAGAATTATTTATAATCTTATATTTTATGTCATGGCTAGGCTTCGCGAACAAAGATTTGGGAAATATATTTTATGTAGCTCTGTGAAAAAAACCATGAAGGTTCTGAATCCACAGACAATTACTGAAATAAATATTGCAGATGTTCAGAGATGTTTTCAGTGCAGCAGACAATGAACAGCTTACTTCAATGTATTTGGGAAACTACTTGAAATTCTGGAAACGTCAACTGGTATTTGGGCAGCCCAAAGCTTCCAGAGCCTTAATGCTGAGTACACAAAGCACTTTATTATTTTCTCTTAATAACAGAATATACCATTATATAGGGGGGGGGAAAGCTCAAACCTGGTGCCTTGAATATTTTTAATATTTTTAACGCCTGAAATATTTTAAGTGACAGAGTAGAACAATGTGTCTCCACTGACTCCCTCAGTAAAATAAGCACAGGCTATACAGTATTTTATAGTTACTTTGAGAATACCAAAACATTGTCTAAGAAGTAATTAGCAAGAACATTTTCCATCTATGTGTCTTCACTGTAAAAAAAGACATTAAATCCTGGAGATGTATTAATATGGTAACTGGGAATACAGACTGCAAAAACAGCACAGTTTCCATGCTTGAGGTAAAGCATGTTCACAAAGCACACCTATCTATGAAAGCTGTTAAGTACTTTTAACAGCAGCAAACTTTGATCCACAATATGGTACTCCCATACAAAGTCCAATAAAGTTTATGATTTCTATGCACAACACACAGAAAACCATAGAAGTTAGATTGTGCATCACTCTCAAGTGTAAAACCATTGAATAAAAAACAAGTCCTAAAATCAAATATGAGCATCCATATGCAATAAAAATCTTAGTAAAATCAGCAAAATAGTGGAAGCTAAGAGAAAAAATGTATTTATTAAAAAAGGCGTATTATATTTTATAGCATGTTTTTCAAACACAGCAAAAGCAGAAAGTGTGCTACTGCCTGTAGCAATAGGAGATGATCAAGGTGTGAGGAAAATACTCAAGAAAGACAAAGGTACAGCAGAGAAGCTGAATGCATTCTTTGCATCAGCATTCACTACAGAAGCACTTAAAGATCACTTCCAAAATAATTTTATGAGGAAAGTATGAGAACTGTGTCACATCAAAGACTCCATAGGAAACAGTTCAAATGAACTGGTTAATGAATAAAAACAAGTTACCAGGACCAGGTGGAATTCATCCAAGCAAACCATTGAGCACATATGCTTCTGGTGTTTAATGAATGCTTAAACAGTCTTGGTTCAAGAGAACAAAAACAGGGCAAATATGATAACATTCTTCATAAGTAGGTCTGCAGAGCGGCAAAAGGGTTGCACTATTAATAGAGGTACACAGTTAAATATGGAAACATCAAGGGAGCCAACAAAGACCTCGCAAAGGGGAAAACGTTTAATGTGCTCACACGACTCAGTGGTGCGTCCTTGCCTCAAGAAGGACGACAGCGCACTGGGCCTTATGAGCACACGTGCACCCAGCAGGGCCAGGGAGGTCACCCATCCCCTCAGTCCATGTGAAACAACAGCCAGACTCCACGCTGAGTTGTGGGATCCCCACTGCAGAAGAGATGTGGACACACTGGACCACATTCATCTACTGGACAGTCCCCAATCTGGTTGGGAGCTGGAGTACAGGACATACGCAGAGTCCAAGGGACTGGGTCTGGTCAGCATTGGGATGAGAAGTATGAGGGGAGACCTGATTGCCCCCTGCATTCTCCTAGCAGTGGAGCAGAGAGACACCAAACCAGACCCTTCTCGGAGTAAAGAAGGGATAGGGTAACCTACCACTGCTTTCTGTGGCAGCAGTCACAAGCTGGGAGACAGGAAATTGTTAGATTTAAGGAAAAGATTATTTACTTGGAGGTTGATCAAACAAATTGGACAGCTGCCCAGAGAAGTCAGGCAGCCTCCATCCTTGGAGGTACATAATGACCATCTGGACAAAAGGCTCATGAGCACATGAACTTTATGCAAGAGGTGGGATTAGAGACCTCCAGGGGTCCCCTCCTACTTACACGTCCTATAAACCAGTAACTGCCAGTGTCATAGGTCTGCCAGGATCCTCTGAAGGGATCGTGACATGTACACATGCAGCTGATCTGGCATCCAACTTGGCATTTCAATGAGCTCTTAACAAACTGTCACCAAAGACCTCTGCTTCCCAGATGTTACAGGGTAAAAGTTCTTTTCCAGGGATTAGCATGTTATTAAAATTAATTGTCTATGTAATCTTCAAAGGATCTGTGCTGTTCTACATACAAAACATCAGGAAAAGAAGTGATTAGAGAGTTAAAATTTCCTGATAAGAAATTTCTGAGCATAATCAAAGCTAAAACTGACTGATATCATCACCATCAAACATCACATGTAAATTAATTCTTAAGGGGTAAAATGGCTGTAGCACACACACGTAATGATGGGTTCTACACCATGATCAAGCAGAAGAGAATTCATAAAGTCGGCACTCTCTAAAATTATGGGAAAGCTGTATCTTGAAGTGCACATAATTTGGGGCACCACAACCCTAAAGAAGACACAGTACTATCAGAAAAACTCCAGGAAACAACATTACAAACGTTACAAACCACAGTGTGAAACATTCTTTATGAGGTTTTGAACAGACCAAGTTCTTAACCTAGAAAACTAATGATTTTTGTGGGTATTACATTAGTGAATGAAATAATGAGTGCTATGAAGAAGATGATATCAAATGAGGTTGTGCTTTTAGATCTGAAAGTATTTTTTTAACGATTTCCTTTTTCGAACAAATTTGTAGGTCTCTTAGAGAGACACTGTCAAGTTATTTGTCTCTAACATTTCATCATCCCTCTGTCAAAATTCTGATTATCTGTGCCCTTCGTATTCCCTGATTGTATTCTTCTTAAAAACTTCAGTAAAAAATAGCGTGCTCTTTCCATTATTTTCCTGGCTACTAAAATCTGGTACAAATTGTACTCAAAGATAACGGAGAGAAAATATTTTTATCCTAGATGCAGCCAAAAGCTCTTCTGCAGCTATCAAAATCAAGGATGAAAAACACAGTTTGTGAAACAATACCCATAAATGTTACTCACTTCAGATGAATGGGTAGTTTTATGTCAGTAAAATATAAGCTCTATGCTTACAAAGACAAATCAGGAACATTTTGCATATTCTACCTAGTTTTGATTTGTCTTTGTTTCATCAAACTAGATCACAAGCAAGTACTGTGTACCAAACTTGTTAATAAATCTGAAGATTCAAAGTTATAAGTTTTCATCATGAACAGTATACCCATTCCCAAATAACTATATATATTATACAGATAATATATTACTATGCACTGAAAACATTTTGACAATCATGTCTATGCACATAGCATGTAGTTATCCAGATTTAAATTACTATAATTAATACATATATTTATATTGATAAAGCTATATCCAAGCAATGGAATAAAAAAATCCATCAAAATATCCCTGTGCTGAAGTAATAATGCTTGCAGATGCATGGCTCACTGCCAGGCACATATCAACCTGCTTGTAAGCTGGGAACAGATCTAATCTTGCCAGTGACTGTCGAGAACAATGCCGCCTTTGCTTTCCTCTAATTAAGAGACCTTCCACAGACAGGATAGTTTTGCTTCACCTTCTAAAAAACATGCAATATATTCAAACTAAAAGGTAGGTAGTGCATGAGATTTAAAGCATGAGAATTTCCTCTTAGCAAAGCAGTTCACCAATTCTAATTATTCCTGAAAATCCATCAGACAACTTTATTGTCAACAACTACAGAGAGTCTATTAAGTTCAAGCAAAACAAAGTTTGAAGTTTCCATAATGGGTTGTGCTCCTAGCCGGAGGTGCTGTGCCTTCTCAACCTCCTGGTGGCCATTCCTAGATTCAACTGGGAAGTAAACGCACCATCTCCACTACCTCCTGCTGGCATCTGAGCAGGGGTCATGCTACAGGGCTCATTAATGAGAAAAATCTAATTCTCTACACTGAGGGAATAAGGAACACAGAATAGGATCTTATTTTCTGCCAGTGGGCTGAGCGAGCTGATGTGGGTGGAATTACAATAACAGAAAATGCTCTGTCGAAATCTGTTTTCGCCTAAGAGATGGTTGGGCCTGAGGTTAGCATTCTCAGAGGCTTCCATGCTCCTCTGAGACAAAAGAAGTACCTGCAGATGCATTCAGGTGGAATGCAAAAACCTATCTATTTTATGAGTAAGTTTTGACATGCTGGTTCAGACAGTCTTTCTCAGAACTGGAAATTAGTTTCATTTACAACCTGGCACTTCAACAAATTGCACAAGACTAAGGTGGCATAAAACCTGTTAAACTGCTGGGATAAGTGCCCTACCAATCCTTCCGTCTTCCGGTTTTATGATTTCTTAGTGTTGTTATAGTGCCTAATGCAATAAAGTTGGGAAACGGTTACAGTTTCAAGAACTGGTTTGGCACACACAAAGCGTCAGGTGAGTCTGATATAGCATCTAAGCACTCATTAGATTCAAGTTTCAGCACATCAACAATTTGGAAAACAAATTCCAAATCAGGTCTTGAATGTCCCAACACCACCTCATGCCATATCACATCATGAGTGACTTGCTACTCTGGTCAGGTTATTATCTAAGCATATCTGTAACTTACAGATACTCATTCAATATTGTAACTACTCAGCCAATTCAGCATAGGAGATAATTTCTGTTAATTTAGTATCTCATTTAAAAATCTAAATTTAAATTACTTGCTTCAAGATTACCTTAGAAAAAGATTGAGGGCATTCTCAGCAAAAGAGAGACTATTTAGTTCTAACATTAAAATCTACAGAGTGCACTGAGCAGAGGTCACCAGATATAAGTATAGGAATAAAACTACAAAACCATTCTTTTTATTTACTTACTTATTAATCTTTACTAGACCAAGATTATGACAATGACAATGCCGGTAAGAGCACTGTAATTATTCCAAATAGAGAGATTGCCAGAAACAGAATACATGTATGTGTCTGTGCATATCTGTGTGTGTACAGAGAAAAGTGAGTTATATCAGTTGAGGTATAATCTGGTTTCCACCATTAGAAAATTATTTTAATGTTGTGTTCAAAAAGCCTTGACAAGTGTGACTTTTTTTTTCTTCAGTCTATGTTAGGTCTAATCAGAAAGCATCAGAATACAAAAAGACAAATTGCAAGGTCCAAAAACTGCTATAAGTAAAAAGAATAATGAAAGACAGAGACTACAGGGAAAAAAAAAATCTTTCTGCTCATTGTTAATTTGATGTGGTACTTTTTCTCTCAAAGAAGCAAAGAGGAAGCACTCACAGCACTGCCAGTCTGATACTGCCAGTCCTGCTGAAAAGCTCAGCTTCTCACTCCTCTCTTTAAAAGTTGAACTGTGTATTTAACACTTGTTATAGTATAATGATTAACCATTGAATGAAACATTTTTCTTCTATTTTTTCTCTTCCTTAACCAAAGGTTTCCTCTTCTTTTGAGTTTTGTTACTGCAGTAATTAAGAAGAAATAGGGATATGGACAAAAAGAGTCAAGGTTCAAGTAAATTACAAGTTTTCCTCCATGAATCAGAATAAACAGAAATTTAATGGTATAATGCTCACAAAGTAACTCTTTGGATTGAGAATTAAAAATGTAGTCCTAGTCCACCCTCAGACACACTTCTTCCATGAACTACAACTCATTTTATTCACACAGTGAATAGTTTCCTTAAATCTGAAGGTTGCTCCTGACTTCCATAGGTTTAAAAGAAGAAAGGAAATGGTCAAAAAGACAACTAAAAAATTAGATAAAGACAATGAAGAGAAATATGCACCAAGCTTGGGATACCTGTAGAAGCAGGTGAAGAGTTTGCATGTGAATAATAGTTGATGTTAAAACACATAAAAGGAAAATAATTACTCAAAATCAGATTTTAAGCCTCCATGAAGTAAATTTCTTATAATCAACACTGACATCATCAGCATCCCGGTTAAATATGCTGGGAAAACATTTGGTGTTAACCTAGTAAGCATGTTATAAAATTTTATATTCTAAAAAGGTCTCTTCAATTCTAATACAATTGACAGTACGATGAGCCAGCATGGCTCATCTCGGAATACCAAGCATCTGCTCCAAGAACCATATCTGTGGAAGACTGGGACACATAACCAGACAGCATGAACAGTTAAACAATGTGCTTAGCATAGATACAAAAGCTGTTGAAATATTCAGTGACTTCGCAGCAGAACTAACACACATATGCAGATGAGGAGACTTACTGTTGCTATCTACAATAACTCATATCCTTTTGTCATACTACTAGCGAATTCATCAGTTCTTTGTATTTTCACTATAAAAAGAACAAGTATAATACAGAATTTTATTTAAAACTAAAATTTAAAACTGGAATAGACAAAACCAAAGTGATGCAATTATGATGTAATAATAAACATGGCTATCACCGTCATCTGATCATCATAGTGACAAGGAGCTGTATTACACACCCCATTGAAATTCTTCACAGATTTCACAGAATATTCTGAGTTGGAAGGGACCCACAAGGACATCAAGTCCAGCTCTTAAGTGAATGGCCCATACAGGGATCGAACCCCAGCCTTGGTTTATCAGCACCATGCTCTGACCAACTGAGCTAATCCCCATCTCCTGATTCTTTTACCAACTCATTAAGAAAAAACAGATGTACAGATCTATAGTTTCTGTTCAGTGAAAGAATAAATGAACAATATAAAAGCAAACTTCTTTCACAATGCCTAGTAGGAAGCATGGTTTTTTATGTCATGGCATTGATTTCCCCCTCCTAAACCCACTTTTGTTACTGGTAATTTTTTTAAGGGAACGAGGTAACAGTTATCCCCTTTTTAACTAATTTGAAATGTTTCCCCAGCCTAAATCTGTTCAAGGCAGTCAGAAATCCAATGTGTAGGTGATATGCTGGACAAATGAAAAAAAAAATGAAAAGCAAAAGTGTATAGACAAGAAACGTTTATTGAAAAAGAAAATAAAATTAAAAGACAAAAATGGGTGGAAAGCACAGCACACAGAACTAAGAATTAAAAAAACATCTTACATTCTGCCTTAATGGCAGCACAGTTAATAGGGACAAAGGGACGTCTTGCTGCCTGCCGCAGCCGGAGGGTATTTTTGCAGACCTGACGGGCCAGTTTTGTCCAACACGTCGTGTGAAGAAAGAAAGCTTGACGTGTTTTCACTGCCGACTTTGGACTTCCAGTGTTACGAACTGGAGTTCCCTGTGTGGCCTGCCGGGACATGTGAGTTCTAACATGCGATTCCTACAAAAAGAAACAAAAAATTATAACAGGTACATCTGAATTACAGCATTAAAATATCCACACCTTGGAGAAATTCTCAAGGTTAATCAAATAATATGCATAAGCACTATACAAAAATCTGGGGCCTAAGTAGGAAGCTGTAAAACACAGAGCAGAGAACTATATTAAGAATGGATACATAATGCCATTCTAGATGAGATATTGTATAATCAATTTAACATTTCATACATAACACACCATTTGATTGAGAAAATGACATTTGTCCACCAAAAATGCATGAAGCAGATGTTTGTTTACATAAGGCTTAGTCAAATAAAGACATGGCAGGGCCTGCGCACTTTACAGTTCTACTTAAACACAAGAAAAGGATTAACAACTTGAGTTTTATTTAACCAAAGTTGAACACATACATAAAAAACCCTTTCCACTAAACATTCAAATCACAGCAGACTTGCAAAATCACTATGTTTCAAATTTTATCTACACAGTCCTACCTCGGTAGGTTGGCTGGAAGACAGTTTATCTTCATCTGTCTGTGTAGGCATTTTTAGGCCACCATACTTTTTCCAATAAATCCAGCAGGACGCACACAACCTACATTGCATATTAGGAGGGCCCCAAGAATACCATTGGTGAGACTGTGGAGCTAAAGAGGAGAAAAGAGCACAGGTGAACTGGTGCATGCTACATTCACTACAATAAATCCAAATGCTGTAATAGATGGCTAAATATGGCCAAAATATAAGAGCATTGCACAGATAAATGTTTAATACATTTGACGTGGAGAAGAAAAACTTGAATTGTTAGTTGCTTTATTTTTTACAAAAGCACCACAGAAGTCAACTCCAAATGGAAATTCTGGAAAAGCTCAAGTCATGCAAATTGAATACTTATAAATTAAGATCCACATTCAAAAAGGATAAGCACATCCTCTACTGACCTCGAAGATGTGTACGTATTTTTATCTTGTGCATTTGGAGACCCAGAAGGGCACATTAATTTAACCTTTTTTCTTTTTCATAAGAAAACTATTCTTTAAAAAATATGACTTGAAAAACTAATATACAAAACTAACATACAATATATGTTTTTAATTTAATTGTTGTTTAAGAGATGGGCAGCCATAGGAATGATAAGGAAGGAACTCTTATACAGCAGGTCTTTTCAATTCTTTCAATTTCTGGATTTTATTATATCTCACTCTCACAAAACCTCTGTTGAAGGTTGCTATTTAAATAAGTAAAACAACAATTATCAGAAACATACAAAATACTAGAAAAAAAACAACACTCCCTCCCTCTGCCTCCCAACAACAACAGAGGGGGAAAAGACACCTCAAAACCAACCAACCAAAAAAAACCCAGCTCAAAACCCTTTCATCCTTACAGAAAAAAACAAAAAAAAAATTTAAATCTAGCATTCTGAAGGTAAAGGAATAACATATCGGTGCCATCATATTACATAACAATCTTTCTGTATTTTCTGAATTGTTAAAAGAAAAAAATAAAGTCTATTCGAATATTGACATTTAATATATATACTGAAGGTAGCTATAACTTTAAAGTTATTTCTGCCACACAAGTAACTGGAACTTATCCTCTATAACATGCAAACAAGAGTACATGCATTTGTTTTTAGAAAACAGCACATATTAAAGTTAACCCAAACTCTTGAATTATTAAAAAAAATATTTACTTACTATAGCAGCTTTCACAAGCCCGACCTATTACTGGGGCCTGTGCCTGGTAAGAGGCTCCCATTGCTCCATTGACTGCAGCAGGTTTCCCACTGTTGCTGGATATTTGATTGGGATTTGGTTTATTGCTTTAAATAAAAATGAATGGGAAAAAAATGATTTTACTAACTGGTTAGTCAACACGAAAACAAGCAATATAATTCTGTAATTCTGATGTCTATTGACACACGTATAAAATCTGCTCTAAGCAAGACTAATTTTTGTACTCCTCTAGTATTTTCAGAGACCTGATATGTAAGAGCTGCTTTGATACTCCAATTTACAGACCTTTAATGTGGTCCCATGTTCTCAGCTACTCGGCAAGCTAGTAAAAGACCAAGTCTCAGGGTCAAAGTATTAACAAAAGTCTGACCCAGTACAGAATTTAAGAAGGTGGTTCTAGTCAAAAGACAAGGCTTTACAAGTTGAGGCAGACTTTGGACAAAGTATAGCAAGCAAGACCAGTAACACTGCCTATAATATGACAAGGTTGTCCAGCCTAGAAGAGGGTCAAAGAACTTCCTGTCTCAAGCAGAAGTACACACCTTCCCACCAACTGCAGTAAAAGTGAATGTCTTATAATCCTGGCAAAACTTCCCATATAATACCAAGTTATTCTATCCAGGTTCTTTTCTAAACTACTTTCTCTCTGAGATGCTCAATAACTGGTTTGGGATATTATTGTTTGGCTTTTTAAATATTATTATACTTTATTATTCTTGCAATTATTGTAACTACTAATACTTCACAGAAGTTGGACTTCACAGGTCATTTAATTCAGACAATTAATATACTCTGCACTACGTTAAGTACAGTATTTTCAAAGCTTCAACTTCGTGCACGTTAATTACTCTCAATATAATGCAAGGCTGGATACATTGATTCCTAAGATGATTAATTGTTACTTTAGGTAGCATAAAATATATTCAAGATTAGTTAAAATGACTAACTGAAGAAACCTTTCCTGTATCAAGTCTCTATTTCAAATGCCAACAGTCTGTCTCCTGCCTTCGCTTTTTTCACTATATCCAGCAAGAGACATTTATAATTCCTACATGCTCTTTATCAAGTACCTTGGGCTCAAGGTACAAGAGAAGGGATCGAGAGACGATTAAGTCTCCCACATTATGATCTGTTGCTAAGTTACCTTTCAGAAAAGACATGAATTTGAAAGGGACTCTCTGGTATTGAGCACAGAACCTTGCATTTACAGGAAACACCTAATGATCAAGTTCAAAAAGGTACTCAGCTCTGAGAATCAATTCTACTCAGATTTCAAATGCAATAAATCAGTCTTGAAACAGAGTTAGTGATCCACCACCTCAGATTGCATAGTTACCAAGACATGAGAAGTCCTATCACCCTCTTACTGTTGACTAGGGATTTTGTCTTGAAATGGAGGCAAAAGACAAGCAGTAAGATAAAAACTCGAAAATCCAACATTTCAAAACACACTTTGTCATCCAATACAGCTAGTCTTTACAGTGAACATATTGGTGAAAATCCTAAATTTTCTACACAGACCATGGAAATTAAATTGAAAAAGATTATGCAAAGACTGAGTGCCATATGGTTTTCCTAAAGCAGCCACTCCTCTGAGAGGTTATGGAACACTCATACTAGAGTTTTCAGCTTTTTTTCAAAGTGCCACTTATTAGAGACATGAGCTTCAAAACTCACAGTTTTGAAAAAAACTCACAGAAATTTTGAAAATTTCTTCAGACACGAGATTCAAACAATGAATTTAAGAATCTGCAGTTTGTATTATTACATCTTTTTAGGAGAGAAAAATCTGTATGAAATACGCAAATGAAACTCTATTGTATGCAATTTATACAAGTCATCAAAAAGCCTTGCAAAGTACTTCCTTTGGTATTCCCGTCTTCTGTTATACAAACACTCATAACAGGAACTTCACATATATGTAAACTGAATATATCCACAAAAAGCTTAAAAAAATGTCAACTGTAATCCTTTCTCCTCTTATAATCTTGAGGAAATTATGAATATGAAAGAGGGATTATATCTTGTTTCTGTAATCTACATGTTAACAAAAGCAGATATAGCATCGACTTTAAATCTAAAAAAACCAGATTAAATACCCCTCAGAAAAAAACAAGATTGCATTAATAGGATTTGTGCAAAGGTGAAAGATTTGGGGCTGTGTGCTACCTTTAATTTACAGCCAGAACATCTCTTGTCTCCAATTGAAGAATAGACTTTATCCACAAGATAAAACTGTAAAAGTATCTGATTTTATTTTGTTTTATGTAACTACTTTAACAACTGTTTCTATTTTGAAATATTGCATTTACAGAAATCTGAAGTATTTACACATATATGAAGCTACAGAGATTTGGAAGAGATTATTCTGGAAAAAAATGCTTTTTAAATGATAGGGTTCTTCTTGCTTGTGAGCAGTCCACAGATAGCACTTGATCACCTTTGTAAAAATTTTCAGCATTCCAGACAGGCAGTTTGCAGGTCATGGACAAATGGCTCAGTCAGATATAAGGTGTCACTTAAGACAAGAATTTCTACCATTATATCTCTGTATATAACAAATACTATGAAAGAAACCATTATAAAGATGACTATGAAACTACCATGCATATAACTCCATGTTACAGTTTTGATTTTACCTGTATATTATTCAAAAAAACTGACTTTGTTGTTATACTCACTAGGTGGGGATGTATACTTGTTTCAGTTTACTTTCTGCTTCAGCTGCTTTCAGACGTTTCTAGTTGAAAAATTAACACATTAAAATATTTTCTTATATTAAAGCATTAGATTTCATAATACTGCACACAATCCATCTTAAAATGATTTCTATTTTTCGATTTCACAAGAGCCTCCAAAAGAAGCATAAAAATCTACAAGATGAAAACCATGAAAAACAAAGTTCTCCATTTTTATTATTAGTTGGAAATTATACTGTACTGTCCTTCCCAGTAAAACTCACAGGCCCCACGTATGAGAACAAAACTGTAAAAACAAGAATTACAATTTACATAAATTACATCTACATAAACAGGTACGACAATGTGGCTAACTCTCATTGCAGAATTAAGTAGAAAATAAATGAATGAAATTGCACACGGTATGTTCCCCATCAGTTATGTACCTCAATACATCCTGTGCACTCTGTCCAGCTTGAGGCTGGTATTTTATAAGGAACAGTAAAGTCCACTGACTGCTAGAAATAACTAAATACCTACTTTTGTTAAATGCCATTAAAATTGTGGCTCAGGCACATCAGGACAGCTACGCTACTGCCAAGATAGTCTGTGAATTTACTAAATAATTACTTTCTTCATACTTGCAACAAACTCAAACCATCTTGTAGGTAGTCCTACTAACTTCAAAAATGTTGAGAAGCTTTAGTTATTACCATATATTATACAGGTAACTAAGATGGCATTTGTTTTCAGTAATGGCACAAGCAAAACAGAGTTCAGATGTTTACAGGTTTGTCTGTATATAAAAGATGAAGAAAAAAACATTATTTCCCTGCACTCTGACATTACTCCTGCTCCCTTGAAAAAAAAGTAGAGAGAAAAGGAGTTAAAACGTGGTCAATTATATTACAGAGGATAAAAAAGGGGGAGACACACTGATAGCCAGCACAATTAAATCAATACGACCTGCCTTTCTTTATTAGGTAATTAAAATTCAGTCCTTCATTTCTCCTACAACAGCCAATTCTCCTCTCTGCTAATACACGTATTTTCTGATATCCAGTCTTTGCAAGATTTATAATCCAGGACTATATTTCTCACCTTGAGAACAGTATCATCAGACAACTCTGCTCTGAGAGTCTCTTGCCTGAGTCAGTAACAGGGTTAATCAGCTTTACTGGACCAGTAGTCTGAGACAGCCTCCCCATGTAACCTGCTGTTCTTTTCCATTTCAGAAAGTTGCCTCTGTGCCATCCACTGACAAAACTCTCATTTATAAAAACTGCACCTTTCAGGAGTCATGTATGATAAATAGACTTCTAAGCAGTCCATGCCATCATTAATTAATTCCTATGCAATGTGAGAGCCCTTTTCTGTTTATCTCCAAAATAGGCTTCCCCCACATCTTTTTTTTTTTTTTTTTTTAAAGGTAGTTTTTTGCCCCACACAGGTGACTGGTTGTGTTTGGAGCTACAGAAGTGAATTCCATTAATACTGCTGTGCAGTTGCAGCTTTCCCCAGTGCCAGGTTTGGCAACACTTCTCTACCTTCGACAGGCCCACAGCAAAAATGCAAACACAGTCTGCTCTGCCTGCAGAGGATGTCTCAACGGTGAACTCTCTCTCTGCTTTACAGCAAGCCACAGAGTTCCCATACCTGTCTCTCTTTCATGTTATACCCAACAACACAGAATTTGTTTTCAGCCAGAAAAAGTATGTAAAACTGCCAGTCAGCAGGTAACGTGTTCCACAGAGGTTTCTAACAAACTGATTCCTCCATTCTGCAGAGAGAACAGGTAAATCTCACTGCACACCAAGCAGGAGCAAAAGAGAAAAACACAATAAAGGGAAAGAAATGAGGAAAGTAGCTCTGAAGCACTGTCAAAATGTAAAGGCTGTATTAAGGAAGCTGTATGTAGGAAGCTGTATTAAGCCCTGATGGTAGTGTCACTGATAAGTGATTATATACACATTAATTAAATTTTAGCATACTTTTAATACCGGTATGGAGGTTGTAAGGAATGCAATTTAACAACTGCTTTCCTTCTTTATTTACTAAAGCAAATGAACCTTCTAAAAAAAAAAGTCATACACTGTCATTTCAGTATAAGCTGTATTTTTTATGTTAAAATTCACACTGACCTATCAACTTTCAAGTACCAAGTGAGAAGAAAGGATGCAGAAAGAAAACTATCAATAGTTGCAGTTTCTGAGATGAAACCCCTGCCTGTTGAAATTTCGAGGATGAAAACTGGTAAAGGTTGGAAGTTGAAACTGAAAACATTTAGACAAGAAACAAAGCACCAATTTGTAACAAAGCACTGGAGCAATGTAACAAATAGAGCTGATGCTTTACATGAAAAAAAAATTACATCTTCAACAGTATTTCAAACAGGTCTTACAGACCGCATTTTAGGTGAGGTCAAACTACACCAACTCAGCTTTTCACCTGAGCTCTACTACTTTTAATCAACTGGCATTGAAACTGAGTATTTGTATTTTTTAAGGACTTTTGTTATGAATATCAACTTACAAATATCCCAAGAATTGATCATTTCCCTAAATTAGTACTGTTTTCACCAGTGGAAATAAATGAATGAGAGGCAAATGTTATATATTGTTGCAGAACAGTAATTTAGTTACCATTAAATATGTTCACCCTTTTTCCTCTTCTGAAATCTCAGTAAAAGTCTTTTTGTATTGAATCAGATTTTTAAGGAGAACACCAAAACTAATGAGAAGACTTTTCATTCAGTGGAATCAATCACCTCACCTTCCTCAAACACTTATATATATATAGTAATGGTCATGAGAAGTGCTGTATGACCAAGAATGTTTACTCAAGACCTGAATTAGTTTTGCTAGACAAGTTCAGAGAACTTTAACATATCTTCCCTTCACCTTGACTTGAAGAGAAGATGATCTGAAAGCAAGGTGGTAGCAGTACCTCCATTGCTATCACCAGCTTTAGCTACCTAGCAAGAATAACAATTAGTAGAAGTTATGATAAGGAAATCTTTCTTATGCCTGACATCATGTATCCAATTCACACAAAGAAATAGAGATAATTAAAAGCAAATTTTCATATTAAATCACATCAATCTAGGATTCAGAGACTGTATTTTAAGTAGGTACATCGACCTTTTATGTCTTCCCATTTTCACAAGTCACCCTACCCCTCAAGCATGATATTTAGGGAAAAATGACACTGAAATCCTCACTTTCTTACTGAACATATTTTCTCTCTGAAACACATTCAATTATCACAACTTGTTCTTTTTGGGAAAAAAAAACCCAAACCCTAAGCACTGTATTAATATTGACCTGTGTTAATTTTTACCATTCCCCAACAAACTAAACAAAGGCACAATGAAGTTCTGATCTCTTGTTAGGAAAGATTACAGAAACATTAACCAGGATAAAAATTAGGCATTTGGCCTACACTGGTTTTCTTACTGAGGATCATATATGTGACCCTGAAAGAACATATCTAAAGCATTCAATCCCCTGGTGTATTGATGTGTTCTACAGTAGAATGTTGTACATTTACTTAGTTACAAGTAAAACACAGGCATTTACAAGAGCCTTCAAGTTGTAGATAACCATAAAGCCCATGTGTTTTTCTTGTATAGAGCCTAATCTTTTGAAAGGACATGCAATCTCAACACATCCCACACCTTGATCATTGTAGCAACAGATCATAACAGAGCCTTAGAGAACTAAAAAAGGGAATCTTAAGTCTTTTGCCAAGCCCTCCAGAGCAAGTATTCCAGGAAAAAATTACAGGAAACAAGATCAGTCTCTGAGCAACCTAGGTCTGTTGTCTTTTTATCTGATTCTTAAAGATAATCTCTTGCCCAATCTTTAAGATCTGACAAGCACAGCAAATCTCCGCTGGTAGCACCTTTCTAGGATAAAAATTAACAGTGCAAAAAAAGTGTTGAAAGTGAAATGAATGGTGACAAACACTGAAAAACATGCTTTTATAGAGAACATATTATTTGCTATTTGTATTATTCATAGAACTAAAAGGTCCTCGTGATAGTTCAAGACTCTCCTATGTGGTAAAAGACTTTTACCCTACTTTCCATACACTAACAAGTTGATATAGAAACACTTTTCAAATAAACCAGAACAACCTGAAGCAATCTTCCTTCTGACACACTTAATCAACAACTCCAAAGATTCATCCAACAGTACAGCTGTAGTTATTACAGTAAAAAAAATTATTTTCAACACTCTGTACATAACATTGCTTCTAATTATGCAGCAAATGAATGAGCTACAAAATTAAACATTAAATCAGAAATTAAAATGGAGTACTTTAAAGTATTTTATATATCTAAACCAAGGAGTAAATATAGAGAGTACAACATATAAAAAGCACCAACATTGAAATTTTGCCTAAACCTGCTAAAAATATCCCAGTATTGGTACTCAACATAATCTTATGTTTCTTCTCCAGAGCAACCCAAACAGCTGAACGCTCAAATCAGAAGGATGAACACCTCCACTGTGTGCAGAATGGTCTCAATTTTGGTTTTAAATGCTGGTAATGGCAAAGTAATGTTTTGTCAGGGAGTACCAATAAGTGTTTCATAACAGTAGCAGCCACTTTAACACAATGTATTTTCCCTTTTCCTTCAGTCCCATAGCACAGCTTCAAAGACTAAAGCATTTGCTCTGGAGCCCTTCTTATCCCATACTGCAATAGGAACCAGAAATCCTATTACTTCAAACCAGCATACAGTACAAATGGCTTAAAAAGCTCTTCACAGGTATGTGATGAACAACACAGAACCACTGGTCTATGTCCCAAAATATTATCATAGGCTCCCCCATATTTCTTTTTAAGAACACAAACAGATTTTTATGCCTTAACATCATTACATTTTTTTAAGAATGTCTCAGACTGGTTCATGCTGAAATAGTCATAAAATTACCTGCTGCACATATCTGTCAGTGGTTTTCCACATGTAGTAATACTCGATGATGCTAGTCAGTGACTTCCAAGGGAGCTGAAAAACATTTGCTAAAAATTAAAGTGGTTCCAAAAATTGCAATGTCCACATCTTATTAAACACATGTTAAAATCAAATATAGTTGAGATAAATACTAAACTCTGAATGTATTAAACAACTACATTAAAATCCATATGCAAACAAACACATATTGCTATTAATAATATACAACCTTTCCTTATAGTTAAGAACTATGCAGAATTACACTATCACACATCCAAATCTAAATGTAATTTATTCTGTTTAAGCCGTATGGTAAACAAAATTATCAAAACAGAATGCAGATTTCCTTTAGGAAACACAGAAGGTAATGTCTCTATTATAAAGTGTATCAGATGGAGAATAACATTAGGACTAAAAGAAATCATCTTGATGAGACTGTGTGCAAGTATCATGTATTTTTCTCTTTAAAAATACAAAGGATACCAGACTTAGATCACAGGTTTTGCAAGGCCCCTAACAACTCAGTCACTCATACAACACCACTAGTTTTGCATAAATCCCCACATACTCTTGACCATTATCAAGAAATAAAGGGATGTGAGGGACAAATGCTACCCTGAGCAACAAGAGTGGTACTGACAATGAATATTTCACAAAAATTTTTGTGCCTGTGATAATGACAATTATTTTGGGTGCACATATTCATTGGTGAAATAAAAATGTATTAACCTATGTTTTGGGGTGAAAATTAAGCAACCATTTTTAACTGCCACCAAATAGTCTATTCAACTCCATAGGACTTTCTGTAATTTAAATTAGTATTTCTCTTACAAAATTCATGCATTTTTTCTTCATAACTTGGAAACATGTTACTAATTTGTGTGTGATATTTTCTAGAGGCATGTGTTAATGCTAATATGCTGTGCTTTCTATAAGTGAGGAGGATGTTTAGGAAGTCCCAGAAAGTACAGGTGTGGAAACTTATCTTTCCAACCTTACTCACTCCACTTTGGGGCTTTCTGCATGTCTTAAGCCAAAAGAATAGTTTCCTGCACCTTTAGTTGAATTCCTAAAACAACAGAGGAACACCTTATCAAGCTGCCTCTCCCTGCATGCAGGAGCTCATAGCTGGTTTTTCATGCTGCTTGCTTGCAGACACTTGGAGGAACTGAGCCTGGCTCCCACCTCTGCCTTTCAGGAAATGGGATTTACACTCAGACTCAGCTGTGATTTTTTTCTCAGGCAGTGTACCACAGTGTGTAAATCCCTGAATATTTGCATGTAATTCAAAAGTAACAGTGTAAGAAATGCACATGCTGATGTTCTAAAAAATAGCAACACAATTCAGTTTCCTAAAGTCCTTTTACTTTCTCAGGTAAATTATGCCTTCAGAGAAATCTACTCAAAAAAAGGCCAGTGACAAGAACAAGTTAGGTGTGAAGTAACAGATAAACTGATTCTCAGTCTACAGGTCCATATTCTTCCTGGCATCTAGATGGAACGTTGCCACCCCAACTACCTGCCATTGTCAATTAGTACATTTTAGCATATCCATATTTATTTTCCATCTTGAACACTTATTAATGACTTCATGTTACAGATTATCTTTGCCATTTCTCTAGAAAATACTTTAATCTGTTTTAACTATGATTGTGACACCAATATGTTCATTCACTCAGTAGGCATCTATGAATAAAGAAAGATAATTATGGTGTTTGGACTGAATAACTGTAATTCTTTTACACTTTGATTCACAACTTTTTACACTTTGATTCACAACTTGAAAAACCTGTTTGACAGACTGAGCATGGATAACCTTTATTCCATTTACCTACGCACTTAATACTCTAAACTGCCAATGAAGCTGTGAACAGCCACAGGATAATGTATTCTCATTATCAAATTCTATTTTTTAAAAAGTAAATATGGTCATCTGTGTGACATTTTTGCAGGAAGAAATTAGCAAAAAGTATCAACTCTACAAAAGCAGAGAGAGGAGAGTTTTAAGTTTCTTTAGTTTCTCCAGGGTAAGAATGGACCACTAAAATCAGATGAGCAAGAAAAACTTAGCATCCTAAAATGAACATGGTAATTTTAAGGTATGTTTCCACAGTTTTCTGAAGCTGTAAAACAGTTGTTCCTGCTTTCTATGAACAGTTGCAAGTCTTGGTTACCAAGGCCTTTCCTGCCATATCCGAGATGTAATAGTTCTAAATTTGTGAAAACCGTTGATAATGAAAAACCAAGAATTAACAAGCATAACAGTTGTGTCTTATTGTTAGAAAAATAGTTATATTTGGAGAACATAAAATATTCACTCTTCTTCCATTCTCCTACCCTGGGATGTGAAATAATTGAAGTACATCAAGTAAATTGAATTAGCTTATAAAGTGTAGGTTGATTAGGATTCAGATAGTCTTAAAGTTAGCAGAACCTCTCCTAAGAGAGTTGATGAGTCAATATCTGATAAAAATGATTATTCAAAGGCTAGACTGGTAATTTGATTACAAATGAGCTCCTCCTGTCTATTAAAAAAAGGTAAAGTCCCTTACGCCATTTAATTTATAATTATCTTGCTTACTAAATATTTAGTGTTTATAGCTTAATACCTGAGCTGCACATTGAACATCAAATAGTGCCAGTTCTTACTAATTGCTAGAAAAGGAAATGAACCTGGCCTTTACAGAACTATCATGTGCGGGCTGCAATTGCAGCTGCCATGCCTTGCAAATCTGGGCCGACTTAGAAAAGGCAACTCCTCTGGGATATAATGACTCAGGCAGGTAGTACATAACCCTTCTGCTCCAGGAGACTGCTACCAACCACTTTCTGCCATGCAACGTGACAGTCTTGCCTGTACTGCGGCATCACTGCGTGACTGCCTAGGTTTGAGTTTAATCTCAGGCAGTGCACACTTTAATTTTATCATTAGATTCTATGTGGAGACTCAAACAAGTTCACACGTAACTACCAGTCCATTATCTTCTCTGTCCTTGCTCTTACAACACATGTAAGAGTACTTAAACTTATCAATGACTTGTCACTGAAGAGAGGGATGATAATAGATAAATGTACTATTGTGGAAAATCACTGCTTAAGTGCTACATATTTATACCTACATAACCTTGCAGACACTTTTCATATATCCTTGATCTAAATCTCGAAGGACTATTTTCGATGATTACTTAAAAACCAAATGTGTGTTTTCAAATCCCTATACTTTTAGAATGCTACATGGGAAGTGAGAACAGATAAATTTTACTCTAGAGAAACTAAGATATCCCAAGACTACATAATGATTAACATATTTGAAAGAATTCAAATTAGATAGAATAGAATTAAATCAAGACTGCAGTGTTACCAGTGTCATATAAACTGAGATATAAAATAGATGTTATAAATTATGTTTTTAAAATGACGCTTTTCAAAAGATTAAAAAAGTGACTGAGAATAGACAACATCGCTGTACTAACTAAAAGAGGCTATAATAAATTAGTGCTCCACATCCATTTGTGCTGCACTCTGACTCATCATGAACATAACCTCAGTAGGCTACGCAACACTATTACTAGACCTGAGTGTGTGTGTGTGTCTCTTTCTTTGGGAGGAGAGGATGGCAAAATACCTGTGTTTTGGGAAGGAAGATTCAGTGAAAGACAGAGGGTGTCAGGAATCTACTCAAAATTTGAACATTGCAACATTTGAACATTTTAAAATTTGAACATTGTAAACAGCTTCTACTAGAATCATCCAAATATCTACCATTTGAATATTACAAATGCAGAAGCAATTCTGGAGACACATTACTCCATTGTATCATTTTAACGTATGCATATCAATAGAATTGGATACATAACATAGAAATTATACGGAAAATAAAAATACTATATAAATACCAGAGACAAGCCACAGGTATACTTGGTCACGAATTGTGTTAGGACTCAACTTGTAAACAGCCACGTGTTATATGATTAAGGTATTTTGAAAAGACAAATATTATATATTACCAACCATTTAACTAGAAGGCATAGTTCCTGAACTATTGTACAATTACAGCTGAGAACCATTTATCTGTATGAGAAATAATAAGGAACTGTAGTTTACATTAAAATTTCAATTCTAAAACTCTATAAAATATTATTTTTAAATAATACTTTATTGAACTTAACAGAGCTATTTCATCCATGATGCAACTTTCAACCAAATGTCATGAATACAGTGAACATTTTCTCCCTTGGGAATCTCAAAATTAAGCACACAGATATAATACACCTATTAAAATGTCAGTTCTTCAGAAAAACAATAGCCTTCCCTTCCCACCTTCATTCAATTATCTGTTTCATTTCAGGACTGTGAAAGTGAAGGAAAGACAGCTTAGCTCACACTGCTAAGCCTCCTCCCACTGTCCCACACCCTATCTTGGAAGGACTTCTACTTTTACAGTACCATTTTCCCCTAATAAAGATTTTTAATAAAATTTTGCAAAGAAAAACAAAAATGAGCTCTGAGTCAAGCAGAATGAGATTAATGTGAAAATGTTTCAATCAACTCCAGTCTTAAATAATGGATTTACTTTGATTCAATTCCTAACCTTTTCATGAAGCCCAGCTTGAACTTGGTGAAACAGAGGTAATCTTTTTCCTTGAAAGAAAAAGACCCTCCATGAAATGAGAAAAAAAAATTGCAGCAAACTACTAGCAATTCCAGTGATCAGTTCTGGAATCCATTTCATTTCATTACTCCACATTAGAATTACCTAATTAAAGCTTTACTGCCCTATAGTGTGATACTTCACTACCAAAACCAGTGTAGTTAGAACATATTGGAAAACATTTCCTTTACTTTACAAAACTGCCCAAACACCTACTATATCAAAAAAACTCCCTGTAGTTCACTTTAAAAGCTATCTGAATATAAATTTCTCTCTGCTAACCATAGAGGGAAAACCCCGCTTTTCAAAAACACCCAAGGGAGTCAGCCATGTAGCTGTTAATGAATTTCACTGGAAATTATGGAAGCGTTCTGCAAAGTTCCTGGAACTTTTTCAGATGCTTGTAAAATCCTTGTAAAAATCCTGAATGAAAGACCTCACCATGAGACATCCTACCTGGTACTAAACCATTAAACAGATTATCTATTGTCACCTATAGAAGGGAGATAAATCAGACTGCTCAAACTACCAAGGTATTACTCTGCTCTCCCTTGCTGGCAAGACCCTGGCAAGAATACTTTTGAACAGACTAATACCTGCTGTAGCAGAAGGAATTCTACCTGAAAGCCAATGTGGTTTCAGAGCCAACAGGAGTACCACAGACAAATACCACAGGTATTTGTTCTCAGACAACTGCAGGAGGAGTGTAGGGAACAGAACAAAGGTTTCTATGTAACCTTTGTTGATCTCACAAAGGCTTTTGATACCATGAGCAGAAAAGGTCTGTGGTAGATTTTGGAACGTTTAGGTTGTCCTGCCAAGTTCTTTAAAATGATCATCTTACTTCATGAGGATCAGCATGGCCAAGTCAGATATGGCGATGCACTTTCTGAGCCCTTTCAAATCAGTCCAGCAGTTTAATTACCTAGCTAGCATCATCCCCTTAGACAGTAAGATTGATGGAGAGATAGACAACAGATTAGCAAAGGCATATAAAGCTTTTGGAAGACTCCGTAAAAAAGTTTGGCGAAATAAACACCTGAAGAAAAGTACAAAGATCAGCATTTACAGAGCCATTGTGCTCTCTACTCTTTTATATGGTTCCAAATCATGGGTCATTTACCGCCATCACCTGTGACTCTTAGAACGCTTCCATCAACACTGTCTCCGTACAGTCCTAAACATCCACTGGTCAGATTATGTGACCAATACATCTGTTCTAGAACAGGCAGTAGTTATGAGTATTGAGGCCATGTTGCTGAGAACACAGCTGCGATGGGCAGGACATGTCTCCAGGATGAAGGACCACCGCCTCCCTAAGATCGTGTTTTATGGTGAACTTGCCACTGGCTGCCGCAAGAGAGGAGCCCCAAAGAGGAGATACAAGGACTCCCTGAAATAACATCTCAGCCTTGGCCACATTGATCTTCATCGCTGGTCTACTCTGGCCTCCAATCGGGCAGTCTGGAGACACACAATCCATAACGCTGTTGCTTCCTTTGAGAACACATGAGGATCACCATCGAAGACAAAAGACAATGCAGAAGTAATCGTGCCTTGCCGATACCATCCAAGGAGTCTTTCTGCTGTGCCTTTTGCAACCAGACTTGACTATCTTGCATTGGCCTCTTCAGCCACCAGCGCGCTTGAAGCAAATGTGGGTAGAGCCCTTCCCAAGTCTTCGTTCACAAAGCCTACCCATGATGATATTGTCACCATTCTTCCAAAGAATGTCATCAGACAAGAAAGCATATTGATTTTCAGCCAGATAAAATGTATACGTATTTTAGTTACATATATAAGCCACACAGATTTCTCCAATAGCTAAATATTCCAAACCTATAGAAAGCAGTTATGATCAACCATGTGAAAACACAGCTACAGGAATGTGTACAACTTGCATACTTACAAAGTCTTGTCGAATGTCATTGAAGTCCTTGCCATACTTTTCCAACGCCTCTTCAAACAAACTAGCTTCTGATGCTGACCACTCTTCCATTTCATCTCTACACAAGACAGGCCCTCCAAGTGGCACTAGAACACTGATGGCACTGCTCAAATCATAGTTGTGTTTATGCAGTGTATCCATTGCATGAAACTGGCAAGGACAAGAAGAGAATTAAGATGTGTTTAAATAGACAGTAGTCCATTTCAGTTAATGCAAATTCAATATATTATTCTCTATAAGCCAAGCGAGTAGCCTCAAATAATGCTAAATTTCAAATCTATCTTGATATCATAGTTTACTGCTGTGGAATATAAGGAAAATAAATTGTTTATTACTTCATTTGGGAAAGGAAATGCCTTGAAAAAATGTTTACCAAAAATGACATTAGTTTATTAGTTCCCGCAAATTACTAGCAAACATTTCTGAAGAATCTTTAGTTGGTAGAAATTGGTTCTAAGTAACCCAATAAAGACAGTGGCATATATTGACTGAGGGGCCATCTTCAATTAACAGAAGCTCTAAATAGTAACTAAACAGCTGCTCAGACATCTATGTGCTCAATATTCTCATTGCTGGTGAAGGAAGACATTTATTGTTTTCATTATGATCATACTTAAAAAGAAGCAAGATATTTGTCTCTTGCTAAACACTGCTGTCAGAGACAGGTAAATAAGGTTTCTTTGGTTGATTCTCTTTGTGTTATAAAAGAGAAGAATGGAAAACAAACAAGTTAAAATGTTCTTCACACTACAAGCAACACTGAACACTCACATTGCTAACCAACGATGAGGAATATGAAAAGTAAACAAATCCAACCATTGGGAAAATGAGCAACATACAAGAAGTCTTTCTGACTCAGCATCCCAAAAGACCCCATCATCACAAGCGCAAATTGTTTTGCTGAAGGAGGTATTAGAGTTATAAGACATGATACTGTATGTGACTGTGTAACATCAGTCTCCTTCGTATTTGTCCCACTACAGTGTTGAGCTGTGAGCACAGCATGCACACTCTCACATGGCCCTAAACTCATGAGAAAACCTTTCAAGGAAGGAACAGTCCTATATTATGTGCCAGTATAGCAATTCCAGAGCAATTCCAGTTGAGCTTCTGCATCCAAATGTACTGCAAATAATGGATTCTCCTCATCGTTTTCCATCTGCTATGAGTGACTGTTGTCTTTCTCCAGAGTTCACTATAAGTCTTTGAGTGCTATCAAACACAAGATTCTGGAACTGTTTTGTCTGCAAGAAGCAATGTCACTATTATTCAAAATGAAAAGGAAAAAAACTTCATATTTTTTATTATGAAGAGACATCCAAAACCAGATTTAAGTCCTTGCAGTAAAGTAGCACGGGCTCTTCTGAACATCTACTAAAAGGAGCATCCACCTGCTTTGTCTTAAGAGGCTCTTGCTTATATGTATATGCAATGCGCAGTGTTTAAGAATCTGAAACAGAAAGCCTTCTCATTCTTTTTCTCTTGTTAGAGAACAGTTTTCATTATAAAATAAAACTCTGCCTCTGAGAAGCCCAGAAATGCAAGATTCACTTGTTTGTCTCACAAGTCTTTATCACTGTAAGAGAAACATATTTATTATCATCTAAGAAGGTAAATACACATTGTTTCTCATCTTCAGTAGGGTTTTCTAAAAGCACTGGTAATTTCCTGCCTTGCCTCATTACACCTCTCACTTGCTGTTCTGCTGCAAGACCTCCCTGAATTTATTCATGTTTATAACCCATGCTTTTTCTCTCTCTTTTTTTTTTAGTATCAGTCTGTTTATAGTTATCTCTGACCAAAACAACTAATTAGGAATATTGGAAAGTGACAGGTGTGGTGTACAGAAATCCCATTAACAGCACTTCAGGTGTAAGGGTTATCTGCCTTGCAATAAGAATATAGAAGTATAATTTTCTTAGTGTTATGCTCCTATATCCCTTCCAAAGCATAAACGACATATGCCACAGGTCCTGCAAATGTCTCTACTAACTTTAACTGCTGCTGAAAATACGTTCCCAATTAGCATGGGAATGTCTGAAAAAGTAACTATTATAATGACAAATATGTCTTTTCTTAACTTAGAAGGAAGTGTGTTGCCAAAAAGCAAAAGAGAAGGGTTTTAAAAAGCTGAGGGGGTAGGAAAATGAGAAGAGACAGACACAATAATTAAGCCTGGGGTGGCTCCTCTGGTGCCTCATTATAAGATATGCCTTTCATTAAGTGTAATGGAACTTAATGGATCATTTGCAAGAGAGAAACATTTACATGGCACTCAAAGACTGAAAGTGTCCCTTTATCAGCAGCACTGCACATGTACTTTCAAAGAAGAAATTGCTATAAGGATGAATCTATTCTATTAATCACTGAATACAGTAAGAAGTATATGCAATATGTGAAATCTATTAGAAATTCTTATTCTAACTAAATCTTAATAAAATGAAAAATGTTAAAGAACTATCCAGATGAAAGAAATAAAGTATTTAATGTTAATAGAATTGTGTTTGTAAAGTCATATCAGCAAGTGTGAAACTGAAAACTCATTTTGATTATTACTGAAAACATTACTTTTTGCCACTGCCTTTATTACACTACCATAGTCCAGACTAAATCTGATTCCTGTTCAATAGCCTTTGAGTACCCTGCAAAAGGTAATAAATTAAATATTTCTCTCATCATACCAATGAATATATTTTATCTGGAATATAAGTACTGCCCTACTGAATCTGATCAGTCATCCATCTAGCCAAGCATTGTCTCTTATAGTAGCACCAAGGAATGTTGCATTGAGAAAATGTGCAGGTAAGTCTAATTACAATCTGAGGTCAATTCCCATTTCATTGACCAGCATCTACAAGCCTTGGGAATTAAGAAGTTCAGATGGAACACCTTTCCCTACACTCCTCAGTACCCATTTATGGCCAATGGTCCATAATTTTCCTAACCCTTTTTTTTAACCTGCTGGTACTGCCCATTCCCACAAAATTTTGATTTCAGAGGCTCTCTATCTAATTTTTAAGGCAGTGTCTTAACTGTTTCAAACTGATCTTTTAGTTTTATCGAGTGTCCTCTAGTTCTAGTACTCCAGTATCTGGAGAGCAGCAGGTCTACTTTAGCCTAAACTATCATCTTCATGATTCTGCACATAAATACTTAAAATAATAAACAACTGCTGATGTCTTTGGAAATGTAAGTCAAACCTGATTCTATGAAACAGTAATATTTTTGTTCTCACATAGTTTTCCTGGCACGCCTGTATTACTGTAGCACATCTTGTCATCTCAGCTAGTATGAATATAGAGACAAACCTTTGGTCTGTAATTGATATATTTTTAACTTTCTCTAAAAGGTGCAGGTGCTTACATTACAACAAATATTTTAACAAACTAAGGAAACACAGTAAGAATATACTAATTAAAATGTTCTTCAAAAATACGCTTACAAAATCAAATTGCTTATTCTTTAGAAAATTTGATGACATATATAGTAAGTAAAAAGTATTATCTATACAATTTTCAATCAGCTTTACTACCACATACTTTAAATCACACTGTTGCTCAATTACACCAAATGAATCTCTATAGAATGTGCATTATCCACTCTGGTATGGAAATTACCACAGCTAAAGTCAAGTGATTTACACTGTGATTACAAAGGCAGTACCACCAAGCTTACAGAAAACACAAAGGACTTTCTACCACACACACAACCCTTGCATGCATAAATAAATGTATATATATAAATATATATAAATGCATACATATATACCTTGCAGGTCCTCTAAAGGACATGAGAAGGAAAATAGGGACTGTGGAGTATCAGACAGTGTTGAATTCACAGATATAGAAGTTGTAGCTTTTTAAGAAGCCACCTACCAGTGTGATGTCTCGGGAAGCAGCAGCTGCACTCATATGTAAACTAGGTTGCCTGACGGAGCTACTGCAGTCCAGTGCTCGAGCAAACGTGCCAACCGCACTACAACAGACAAACAGTAGAGCCAGTAAATACACAGAAAGATGTAATCTCTTTTTATTATCAGACTATGTCATCTCTATAAAAGTGTCCTTTTAAAAACAGAAGTCACATACTGTAACTGTTAAGATTTCAGATCTTTGCTAACTTGATACTCAAGAAAAACCACTCAACACTGCAGCAAAAACTCTGACCTTCTCCCCCCAAAAGTAACAACATACATGTTAGAAAAACAGCATAGAAACAAAAGATATTCAGAGAATTGTAACGTACCAACCTTTTAATATACCAATTTTTTTATTAATTACAAAGTCAGAGATTCTACACAGTTTGGGTTTTACAACCATGACTTATTTCCAAAGTTAAAAAGCCATAATGCTTAACAAATTACAATACAAATTAAAAAGCAGTTCACCATGTCCCCATGAGGAAATTTTATTCACTTCAGTAGTGCATGTCTACTACTACCATCAGCGATCCAAAGAAAGCATATCAGCTTAGTCTAAGGTACCACCAAAATCCTATTTTTCTCACAGGTTTAAAGTAACAATAAAATAAATGGATCTATCAGCATGCTTAGTAAAAGCATTCCAGCATTATTGAAATGGATAAGTTTTTCTCCAAACCTTTACCTTTTTTTTCCACTTTTGTTGATTAATTGTACATGGCATTTATCACACTTATCAGAGCAACAAAAAGAAATAGAGGTGGAGAATTAGTGTGAATGTGACTGTTCTAAATTGTTCACATTTCTTGGAAGTACATCTATATGTCATGCCCAGTGAAGGGAAAGATGCATAAGAGAATTTGACTGGGCTGAGCCCATACAGGAAATGAGCAAAGATGCAGCGACACAAAAGGTTATTAATTAACAGAAGAGAAGTTGCTCTAGTACCTGGAGTTGTGTAATGACTCTTGAGGTGCATTGTGTCACTGTGATTTCAGAAAAAACTATTTGTTGCAGTTATTAAGTAAAGCCCTTCTAAATTCAAGACCTAGTTACATAACATTTCTAATGCAGCATAAGCCTCTGGACTAAGGACTGAAGCCTTGCCCAGCAATTACACTCTGCACAACTTATAAGTGCAAAATTATACCAATGGAGAATGCCACTGACAGATCAACACACATTACTGTATTCTATAAATCCAATATTCATCAATAAAAGAATGTGCATCAAGACTTAAACTCACTGAGGTGTATAATGGATCATGGAGAAACTGCTAATAATGTCTGTTATTTCAATTTCATCTTGAATCTAAAAAGATTTAATACTGAATGTTTCAATACATGCTGCCAAAATCTTATAAGACACAGTTAAGATTCAACAGTAATGATTCACAGACTCTTGATATTAACTGCTTAGATTTCTAAAGGCTGTGGAATAAATAAGTGATATTCAAATACTGTTCCATGAGCTTTGCTCCCTCTTTGCAGGGATCGCAAATATGTGACAAGAACACACACATACACTTATTTTGTCTTTTTGTTTTGAAGCTTGGCAGTATATAGAATAGTATTTGTCCACAAATCAGTCCCAAGAATAAGGCTCTATTGTGAACACATTTCTTGATAGTCTGTCAACCCCTTTCAACATGTTGGCATTGATAACAGTTGTAGCTGAACAGTCTTTCCTGTGATCCTTCTGTCATTACTGTTCAAACTGGTGAATGTAGCATGACTGTATTTCCCTTTTGCTGCTACCTACTAGCTTCTTAGCTTCCTTTTGCATAATCAACACTACTTTCTTTTTATCACATTTCTAAAGTAAAATCAGAGTCTGCTATAAACATTACAAGGAACATGTTCTCACAAGTCACTCTCTGGCAGATCAAACTTAAAGCTGATTTCAGAGACCAAGTGCATGTGAATTATGTTGCCCAGTATATAAAGTCAAAAATTAAGTCATGATATAAGGTTTATTTTAAATAAGTGATAAACAGGTAAGAATTGATGCACCAGTTGACACTTCTTCCAGTGCTGTACTGAGTAGGTGAGGATCACAACCAAGAAGCATGAGTTACACAAGGGTAAAAATAAATAAAACACACAAAGACAAAATATTAAAAACAGTATAATAAAAAATAATAAAACCAACATTATAATAACAATAATGCCATTTAGGGGGGGCAACAGGGACAGGAAAGGGGATGGAGATGGTACAGGACACAAACCAGGGGGTATGTGCATGTCTGTGGCTTTCTTGAAATCAAAGTAACTTCCAGTTCACCTTTCCTTGGAAACTCTTGAAAAACAGTGAATTTTTCAGACAATCCAAAGAAGTGTAGAAATTCTAAAGCATTTGCCTATTAAATAGCAACTAGGCTCAAAACTTAATAGTGATATACGGTGCTCTGTATAATCTAGCTATGCAATTCAGACCCTAATTCAATATGGATTTTTAGAAATCATTGAAATACACTAATTTTTATGTTTTTCAATTAAAAATGCAGATATGAGTAACATATTGATGCAAAGGTCAAAACATTTCCTTTGTCACTTTTTTCTAATAATAATACCAAAGAATTGTTTAAAAAATGTTAAAAGGAAAAAATAAGTAACTAGTCAATGCCATTTCCAGAAGACACACTACTGTCTTCACCTACCTGCTACCAAAATAAAATTCAGTATTAAGTCAACACAGGTTGAACAGTCACACCATAAGTACTCATTTTTTTCTTTTTAAAAACTCTTCAATATTGATATCCCATTAAGTTGGTAAAATCCAAAGAATAACTATAAATATTTAATTGAAGCTATATTTAATTCAATAATAAACTCAACCCAAAAAACTGTGCTCAGCAAGCTACTTACAAATTACTCAACAAGTAATTAAAACACAAACTCAGCAAAACTCAACAAGATCTGTGTCCAAAAGAAAACCAGGGTGAACTTTCTAGGGGTGTTGTACCTGTGTGCTTTACATTTAGCGAAAACTTCAGATTAGGTTTTGAACACAGAAAATACATTTCTCCAAATTTGTTACAGTTCAACTGTAAGACATTAAAGGAAGTAATTGTTCAAATTTTTGCATAAGATTAGTATCAGTAGTAGCTGATGAAATTATGAAGCACCAGACACAACGGACTGTCTTAACAACTTCCAAAGATTCAGTTGCTCATCAATAACTAGTTCTGAAAAGGGTTGTTATTTACCAAAGAAAATCTGGAACCACTGTGATTATACATCAGAATAAAAATAGCCACTGGTTTCTCCAGGAACAACAGCAGTCTGGCATCAAACCAGATCCAGAAGTTCTGGATCCAGACCAGTAACTCTCAATTTTCTTCTACCTTGTGTTCTCAAAAATCCAGCTGAGACAGATATTCTTCTTAATCTGAGAATATTTTAAAATTGTTCACTTTTATACATTTTTTCTTTGTCTCAGCGATACCAGACAAGTAGTGGCTATACTCTGGCCAAAGCTGTTTGAAGTGAACCACAATTGTGCATACATGAATCTGCAAATCCACAGTTTTCCACAGATGCTGGCAAACTAATGAACGAGACCTATGCCTCACTTAAGAGCTAATATTTTTGAGGAAAATAGTTAAGTGATCTTTGGTGGTTTTCTACATACTAGGAAAGCTTTTTGTTTTCCTTACTATTACTTCAATGTTCCTCTTCACTGCGAATTGGAATCAGTCCTAAAAGATGACCTCTTAGACTACTGTAAATTTTAAGCCAATTAATAACCTGATTGCTCTTTAAGAGTCTTGTGATACTTAAAATATTGGAAAAAAGAAAAAATACTTCTTCAGTGAGGATATATGTCAGCAGCACTACATTAATTAAAGCTGAAAATACCCCTGAGATTTCTTCTAGTCAATTTTGCAAAATCTGACCTGAAGAACATATTCAAAGTAAAATGATGCTGTTCCAGAAGACATATTTTCCTTGCCTTTCTAAGAAACTGTCTCTGCAGTGCTATGCTTCATTATTATCACTTCAGATATTTACAGCTCAATGAGAGATGACATGATAAACATGAAAAGTTACCTGCCACTATTCTTTTGCTGAAAGACTCTCAAAGTTAGGGTAAGGATGTATGCTACAACCAACTTTCACTTTCATTACTATATGAACAGAAATGAAACATTTGAAATCTTTCTTATTCAACAGAAATAGAATCTGATACACAGAAGTAGTTTAATTCATGGGATGTTATTTAAGTTATCATCTTTCTGCCATCCTGCAATTTCACAGTCACAGAGGAGGAGATTTACAGCCCCCTAAAAGCAGGTCCATGAAAATGCTGCTACAGAATTTTTTTTCTTTATACTGCAATAGATCAAAATACATTTAAAAAAAAAAGGCAAAAAGAAATTCAGCTCCAAGTTTGAATTAGTTCTTTTTAAATGGATCTGGGTCAAAGAGTACAGTAATACAAAATGCACAAAGGAATAAACATATATTGGCCAAGCGTGACAGACAGGCAGAAATGTAGAATTTTTGATACGCCTAATAAACTTGATGTGAACATATTTTTCTTTTTTATTGCCAAACAATCTGTCTACCATTAAATGCTGTAATTCACCTTGCTAGCAAATATCTAGTTGTGCGAGTGCAGTGTTGGCATCAAGATTTTTCACCATTTTTACTGCTTCATTTCATGTTGCAATGCTGCCATTAAATTTAATTACTTCTTTAATGAACTCCAATTTCTTTTACTTCTTACCACCTAAAGAGAATCCAGAGCATCCATTGAAAACTCAAGTTTTCAAACTGCTGACTTTAATGTATTTATCTTCATTTATGATTTTTGGGAATCTTGTCTACTGCCACTGACTACATTGCATTATTTTGCAAGAACAGAGCATTACTATTTGATCACACTTGTAAATGTTTTTACTTATTGTTCTCAGTTGGTGAGTGTTTTCCTCAATATGATGAAAGACACCTTGCCAGTTGAAGCTGCACTGGGGTCCCTTCCTCACTATAAGATAAATTCATGTAACAAACACACATAGAATCATAGAACACATCCAAACACACCAATATGCCATGAGCACTTATAACTAAATCAACAGTAACAAACAGAAAATTAATATAATCACTGTATTAGAGAAAATGGGAAAGTGGGAACAACACACAAAGAATCAAGCTCTAATTTAAAATGACTAACAAGTAATTTTCCATTCTTCTGTGATTATACATCAAAAAATAAGCATTAAAATGAAGAGAAATATGTCAGAGGTCTGTAACACCATTTTAATTTCATAGAAATAAAAGTACAAAATTTAAAGGTAGAGATGCAATGCTACAAGGCTATTTTAATTAGATTTCAAAACTCTGGTTTAGTTGAAAATAAACTGGGACCACAAATGTCTGTAACATAGCTTAATTTAGAGATATATTCCTTCCAGAAGACTGTGTTGATAACGTAGTTAGATGAAGCAGAATAAAAGAACTAAGTTGTTAACTGTTTCACTGCATCATAAAGTACATAAACAGGACTAGAATGTTCCAACAATGTATCATGCAATGAATTATAAAACAAATTAGCAGAAAGAAAAAAAATGAAAGAAAAAAAAAGGGTCATGTCTACAGCTCTCAGCATCTGTCCAGATCAGATCCCACAACTCCTACCACAGTTGAGACTGGGCAGGATTACTTATGATTCTGACAAACTGAAAAACAGGCAGGACTATTTATCTGACAATGAAATGAAGTACTTCTTGTATATTAGGAATGATAGAGACTGATGACTGGAGGAAACGGTGCATCTGTATCAGTCATTTAGTTCAAAATAGGAAAGGAGTTTCAAAGCCACTGTCCATAGTGGGTTTTTTCTACTGCACTTTAACCAACAACATAAAGTATCTCATAGCACAAAAACTGGGTTTCTGTTAAAGTAGTTCCATGTACTCATAGATATTTAGTCCATGGGGCCTGATTAGTTACACTAAAAATAAAGCTCAAAACATGCACAGTGTGGACACTAGGTCCTCAGCACCAAACATTTCAATTCTACAAATCACCTTCTACTGTACTGAACTATTTGCTAATGTGGCCAGATCTAAACTCCTGTTGCAGCTTCTCAAACTCCTGTTCTTTGAAGCTAGTAGACACAGAAGAAATGTTGCCAATGTATAGGACAGAAGAAAAACTGGTTGATGAAGTTGTATCTTACTTGAGTGGAGTAGAAAATGCTGTTGGAATTCTCATTGTCAGAGTACAAACATTATCCAAAAAACAACTCAAACCCAGAATACATTAGTCTGATGCTTCAAGCTTCTCCTAACAGATGTTTTTGCTAGTTCAAGCAAGAGCCCTTACCCAAATTATGCTTCAGTAGTGGCAATAAGGTACTTTCAAGATTTGTATGTCAAGCAAGACTACTCAGGAAGACCAAGGTTATGGATGCTTACGTTTTTTTTTCAAAACCTTCACCAATTTTCCTGGCACTGCTATTTCCAATTTCTGGACAGCATAGGCATATTCTTCTATCTTTCTATCCAGCAAATTATTGCATATAGGGTTTAGTGACAGTCTCAGACTGACCAAGCATATAAACCTAGAAAAATGCCTCTCATTCCTGAGACAGTAAACAAATCTTGTCTGACTGGGAAAGCTATGTGCCAAAAGCCAAATATAAACGTTCTTGCAAATGGGCAACATAAATAGAAAGAGTATTTAAACACCTTCTAAAAAACCAACAAAGCATGTTTGTGTGATGGAAAAAACTGAAGCATTTATGGACAAAAGCAACTCTTCTTTCAACCAGATCAGACTGAAGAAACTGAATACTCAATGCCTTTGATGCAACATGTAAAAAGGATCACTTGAAAATGCTTTTAAAATGTCAAATACAGATAGCTTACACACACTTAACCAAAAACACATCCAGGAAAGCATTTAGGAAAAAATTCCTATTGTCAGATTTTCAAATTTGCAAAACTAAACATAACCAGAGAAGGACCATCCCAAGTGGAAATGCAGCAAGCATAGCTAATGCCCAGTGAAATGAAGTTAGGCCACGGCAGAACTGTTTGTAAGCAGTTTACCAGAGCATAATAACAACTTCACTGTTACTCAAGAGCTTTTAATGTCCTATATAACGGTTCGCTATAAAACTTGCAACCATATAACACACTGAATTGAAAGTTGCCACAATCATCACAGAACTCTTTCTCCAGAAATTGGTGAAAATCTGCCTGAGAAGCAACAGGAATACAATCTTGCAGTCTGTGAATGAAAGTATATAGGAGGTTGAAAACATTTTCTGTCAGTTAAAAACCAACATACAAGAATGAAGAGTTCTGTGGAGGAACATCCATAAAGATGCACCTGAGTAACATCTGATTACAGATGTTGTTTGCCTACCACAAGATCCCTTAATAGCCACAATTGGTCAGCCATGACCCACCATAACAGAAGTCTTCTTTACAGAAATTTGTCAACTTCTAAATAAATGCAGTCTTGATCAGGGCACAGCATTGAATAGGATGTCTTAAGTAACACAAAGAAGAGTATGCTTTTCCCTAAGTATTTAATTTATTCTCTGTCACTTTCCAGCACACTGCTTACTGCTACACTCCTCTGGGAACATTTTGGACTCCACAGTATACTACTTCAGCTCCCCAGAGTAACTGCAAAATAGGAAGTAGGAATTTAAAAGCAATGAATGAACTCTACAAAAGTTCACATAACCTTTATGCAAATGTTTTTTTAGGGCACCCCATAATAGTCTGCCCATACATGTCCAGGTATTATATTGCTTGTGAAGAAGTAGTTCTGTTTCCTGGGTTCTGTTCTATGGAGCAGCTACCAGGCATTGTGATCTTCTGAATAGATGCATGTTAACACCTAAATCCCTCTGGCTTGCTTGAAAATTAAACAAGGGCAGGCAAGTTTTAGCACTGTCTAGAAAGGAATTAGCACTACAAGTGGGAGAGTAAGAAAAAAACAGGTGGATCAGCATCTGACCTGTAAAACAGTAAATTGGCAACCTATTTTACCATACACATAGGCTGGAAAATATAAAACAACTTCTCCATTTCCTTCCTTGAATGTTTTGTTGAAAAGGGAGAAAGAAAAAGAACAAAAACTAGAAACCATGTACAAGGATTATTTGGCTAAGAAGATTTGAGACTACGCTGTGCAACCAGGTTACAGAAAATAAAGGACATGGAGTGATTCAGGATAAAATCCCTGCGTTAACTGCGATTAACAGTTCTCTGCTATCATTAGAACAGTACTTTTGTACTACATTTGTAAGTAGCAAAGCCTGGTGTATTTTATGAATGTACAATTGTCCTTTAGTCAGAAGTGTATAGATTTTTTTGAAGTTTTTTTTTTTTAATAGTAGAGAAGTATTTTTAAAGGTATTTATTAATTCAAAGTGCTTTGATGTTCCTCTCATAAATCTGCATAATCACATTAATTTATAAAATTGAACTGACCTGATTTTTTTCACTAATGAAATGCAACACTTCAAAACTTATATTTCAACACTCATCCAAAATAATTGCATTGCGTATTATTCAGCTTATATGCATACTTGGCAAGTTCTGCATTCATTTAATTTGTTAACATTTTCTTTATTTCTATTCTTAACTTCTATTTTACACCATAAAATTCCAAGTACTGTAATACAAGACTGAATTATTAGCACTGAAATCCTGTTTCATTTACTCTGAGGGGAAAACAGACTGATGTCTACATTCAAAGTATCAAATTCTACTACAAATTCTACCTGACATACAGGGAGTGTAGCATTATTCCAAAACTCTCTTTTTCTCTCTCCTGTATTGGAAGCTTCAGTAAATATAACAAAGTTATGGTCTGAGTTTCTTTTAGCTAGTTTTGGGAAAGAGTAGGGCTCACGAAATGGCAAACAGGTTGAGTAACACGATACGGGGGAATAAATAGTCAGCAGGAAAAGAAAAAGGATTTTTTTATTAGAGGATTTTAATCTTACCGTGCTACAACTAAAAACTGGTCAATCTGACGGTCAGTAAGGGGGCTATCTGGATCCCATACTTTTACTTCCAGCTTTGCCTGTTCTCTGTCATCTAATTCTCCTGTCAAAAGGTAGATGGGACAAAACACTTATTACTCACAATGTTTTTCTCTGTGTAGTTCTTCTACTACGTTTAAAAGAGACGTACATTTTTAAACACATACACACATGGAGGACTTAACAATCAGCAGTTATCCATTTAAATTCCATAATGTAGCATCATCAAAATAAATCTCTTCCGTTAACATCAACATTTCAATTTAAGGAGACATTCTTAGGAGGTGTAGTATAAATGAACCTTAATAAAATGTGATTATAAAATTGAAACCATAACCTAACTAACCAGTAGTTTCTTTAAATTGTTTCTCTACTATATGAAAGTTACTGTTTCACTTAAGCCATACTGAAATAAATTTTACACTTAACCAGTTTTAGTAATTAAATTCTATTCAATTTCTATTCTATGCCCCCAAAATACAAATCATTAGGTAACTGCTGTCTAGTACATTTTAACATATTTTTCACCTCTTCAGCCACTACATTATCTGTATTGTTAACATAAATCATACTATTAAAATTGCTGTGTACATTGACTAGTTATATCCTCCCATAAAGTAATACATAAAGCTACACCACAAGAAATTTACTATATACTACATCATCATTTCCCAACTCCATTTATCTGAACAGAGAAATTTGTTGAACAAGCACATGGCCAAAACAACGGTGGTGGTTTCTGCAATTTAATTTGTCCTTTATTCATTATTACAAGAGTATGACATTTGTACTGCTTGGAAGAACAATGAAGTGTGAATTCATTATAATGATTCCCATTCATATGGAAGCCTAGATCTTGTCTTGCCTACTACACCAATAGCTTCTTCTGTAAAATAAGAAACATTTCAGAGGCTGACAGAGCAAGCACCACGTATTCTACTAGTCTAAGAAGACCTACGTGTGGGATGTAGCTAACACATCTGTGGCCACAATAGATGACAAAAATAAAGTTAAAATCATTGTCTTTCCTTACTGTTTTAAAATACAAATGTGTTCTTCCTTAAGTAAACATGTGAAAAACACTAATGTTTAGCTGATTGCCAGTACTTATCTGTGACTTTTATGAGCTACTATGAGAATAAAAAAACTGTTGTCAGACACGGCCATTCCACTCCCTTTGAAAATCTAGGCTGTGTAGGTACCTCTCTGAGCACACAGAAGATCACTTTAGTCTGTGCTATTTCTTATGACTTAATGAAAACAGCCAGTATCAAGACATGACATAACCCGTATACTTAAGAGGCTGGAAGCAGACTTCAAACCAAGCACTGGCTCTTCTGAAATCACATCATATAAAGTGAGTTTCTCTAGCACATTCGTTCTGGAAGGGAATTAAAAGGTGGTATATATTTATCCCTACCAAACACACAAGTTAGGACTGCACCATACTGTCTGGTTAATGTTTCAGGAACAAATTTCACAGTCACATTCTCAGAAAAACACAGTACATTACTTTCTTTCAATACACATGCAATAAAGAATTGGCTGTCTTATGGGAATTCTGCTTCTGTTCAAGCTAAATCACATCTAGTACTGGAGACAAACTGTTAATTTCTGGCAATCTTGGATAGGATTTTAAGTCTATAAACTCATTCAATGGATTACACACCTGTCAATACATTCATTTTTTCCATCTGTGACAGACACTTAGTGGGTGATGTTCTACATTTTATAAATAATGTCTGAGTACTTCATTTCAATCTGCTAATATATATATTTTAAATATCTTTAATGATATTTAACTGTTTCAGGACATCATATTCTGGAGATTATAACAATACTCAGGCAAACTACACTTCTCCCAAAGAGAAAACATTATACAAGCATAGCATGAGTATTCAAAACATGCCACTCTCCTGATTCAAGTTTGCAAAAAGACCAAAAAAAATTGCAATACTACTATTTTTACTTAAATTAGAGGTAATTAAACAATTGCTACTAAAAAGTGTTGTTGTAAATCTTGATAAAACTGATTCTGAAATAATGCCAAGCATTATTTGTAGTGGCAGTAGACATAAATAGGACACAAACAATAGAATATCTATACCAAAAGAATCTAAACCCATAAATTAATTTTAGTATTAAATATCACTGCACAATGCTAGGCAGCAGTTTCCATAAAATAAGTGGTCTGTGCCAAACTGCACTTCAAAAAAAAGCTTCATTCAGATTTTCCACTTAAATGGCAGGATATTATCACTTGAAGAGGAAAAATAACCTTAAACAGATCAGATCATGGAGGCAGTCAAGAACTGTTGAAGAAATCTTTGGAAAGTTCATTTCAGGAGTGAAAATGAACATTCTTTCATGCAAACTTCATTTGCATGTGCTGAAAGTATCAGTATAGGATGATCACAGATCTTCATAAGATAAACAGATCTTCTTTCAAGAGGTCTTCTTTCAAAATAATAATTATATACTCCCTCTGCTTTACTTGACTATCTTTACTTTACTTAGCTAATCATGCCTGTAGGTATCCATATACTACAGGATTTCTAATGTCACAGACCCCTTTAAAACTAAGATGTAATTTCTGTTAACACATCAACATTTATCTTCTATAGTGTTAGAATTTGACACCAAAGTACAGGACATTCAAACTGAACAGATGATAAAGTTGTCATAGTATTAATTCCTTACACTGCAAAACCCAGGTCACAAATGGAATGGGGGAGTTTAATTTTTAACACTCTCAGTGCATCTGAGAAGGTTCAGTTTCATACATGTCACCTTCCCTCAATACCACCATCATACCAATTACAGCTTCTGAGAAATACTGAGCTATTTTTTTGAATAGAGGGTATGACATACCAGTGTATCCAACTTATTTTATGTGCTGCTTATAATTTTATTACAGTCAATCTAATCCTGATGATTAATTTTACTGGAAAACATTAGTAGATGGTCAGAAATACACCTGTTTTATGCCTCATCAATCATTCAATGTCTTATTTCTCATGGCTTTCTTCTAATAAAAAAAGTTGTAATTTTTTCTTCTTAAAAAAAAGTAAAAAATTTGCATTGCAGTTAGTCATTTTAAACAAATGAAAGCATGATATACCCCTCCCAAAAAACAATTGTAAGAAAAAATTTACAAAACAAAAGTAAACCAAGTGAAACTTTTAACCAAATGCAATTAAGATGAAGTACAAGAAATTAAAGATCTTTTAGACTTTGCTTCCTGGAGACAAATACCCTAAAGGTAACTAGTACATTAGATTGAGCATGATTCTATGTTACACTCAGTTCTTCAAAAAATAAAACTGAGTTATGTGCAAATAACTTCTCTAAAAGCAACATGAGAAAGCTTAGATCATTTTAAAAGTGTAGGCAAAAAGAAAATGATTTGTTTACCTTTCAATTTCAGAACAATCTCCCCTCTCCCTTACCTTTCCTGACAGATGTATATTCAGGTTTCAATTAGCCATTCAGATAATGAGTTGTATGTTTATACAAATCTCATGGTAAAACTCAATTTATGGACATAACACATGCATAAAGACTAGAAATGAAAAACAGGCACATATAGAGGCTACAAATGAAAGATATCAGGTGAAACAGGCCTGTTACTTGTCTACAGACATTTAAACTGCTACTGAGCATTTTCAAAGCCAATAGAACATGCATAGTCCAATCACCTCTTATCCTCTAGAGCTTGAATTTATAAAAAAAAAAAAAACAAAAGCCATTCTTCACTTGAAAAAATCTCTTTTGAAATAGAACTGCCTCCAATGACCTTAGAGTTCTCTCAGTGTTCAGCTTTATGGTTCTTATAAATCAATCACTGATGATCAAAAAACAAGACTCACAAAACACACAAGAGATTTAATTCATTGTGTTCTAAATTCCTAGAAATAAACAAAAAGAATTATACATTCAGAATAAACTGAGCTGTAACCATGCATTAGTGACCAACTTCTCCATAATGTTGCATCAAGAATGGCTAGTTTATGGAAATGCCCAACGCTGGAAGGAAGGAAAAAATGAGGCTGCCTCTTTCCCAAAACCCTGCAGAACAGTCTGCAAAAGGGAACTTACACAAATCAGAGAACATGGAGACATAATGTCCTAAAGTCACACTATTCCTCGCTTTTTAGTCCTTACATTAAATCACATTGAGGTCGAATCCCCACAGTGCCAGATATGAAATAATACCCTTCCATTTTAGGGGTTTTTTTTACAGTAAAACTAAAGGCAATGACTTTATTATATGCATGAAACTACAAGGTCACCTACCATTCAAGGGCAAGAGTAAATATTCAACTAATGAAAAGATACCTGAAGTTCACCTTTATTTTGGAATTAGCTTCTTGTACTCTTTTGATATCTGTAAATAAACCTGAACAATGTGATTCTGGACTCCCCACCCCCAGTTCAGATGATGTTTTGGTTGACAGACACTGTACAGTGGTCTAGCACCTATTCCAATCTGAATACAGAAAGACTGCACCAGTTTTTCTGAAATTCCTGAAATAACAACACATGAGGTAATACAGTTTTTAGGAAAGCATAGTGAAAGTGATTCTGTGTAAAAATAATAAGAGTACCATACCATACATGAATAATAATATTTAAAATATTTATTTTTTAAAAAAGGCTACCACAATGCATAGAGATTGTATTCCTTAAAAAAAAAAAAAAAAATCAAAGAACAAGCAAACACACAGAAAACTGACTAAATTAAAATGAAATCTTTAGTCCTGCAGTTTTGGTTCGCTTTTTTTTTAAAAATCCTAAATATTATAAATATGCAAATTCCCTGTGACTTCAGCATTCTAAAGATAAATAGGACTTTTCATGTGAATAAATTTAAACAAAACAATTTAGAGAAGAACTGTTTCTTTAGGATACAAAGTATTTTGATTTATTCAAATGCAAAAAGATCACATTTCATCTGCATCTGCTATTTGTTTTTCATTTTCTACAGAATAAACTTAAAAGAAAAATCAGACTTGTAGTAAAACAGTAAGAATCTGAACTTAGAATAAGCCCATTTAGGCAAAG